GGGAAGAAAACTATACAACTCAAACAGAAAAAAAATCAGACTGAGAGCTGAAAAAATATTAGAGACAATCAATGAAACCAAAAGCTGGTTCTTTGAAGAGTCAAACAAATCACTAGAACTTTAGCTAAACTGATAAACAGAAAGAGAATAAATTCAAGTTACAGAAGTTGCACACTATGGACTACTCAACCCCCCAAAACAATGAGATCCTGTCATTTGGTTCACAGTGGATGAACACAGACTAATACTAAGTACAGCAAACCAGACTGTGAAAGAGAGAATGTGTACATTCTCACTCAATATAGACTAAATGTTTGCATTTTATGGCAGAAACTGAACATTTGGAAGATAGAATGAGACAGCAAGTGTAGATACCACAGGCTGTATAAGAGGGGGTGAACAGCTGGGGGTGAGAGGAAGGGGCGGGGGAAAAAGCAACAACAGCAATTAACAGACACAAGAATGGAAAGTTACCGTGTACGATAGTATCTTTGACTTGCTTGATATGTAATGCATTTATGCTTTGAGAACCCAAATCATATGCTGTAAAAATGTATGATTATATGTAAAAAACGACAACACTCCAATCCCCACTCTCTAAAAAAAGAAGGAATATCAGTAATGAGTTTTCAGAAATAAAAAGCATGGGTTACTATATATAAGACAACATATTAGATAACCCAGATGAAATGGATAAATTCCTAAAAAAAACAAACTACTCACACTGAGTTAAGAATAGAAAATCTGGGGGACTAGCAGATGGCATAATGGTTGTCACTGGACTCCCACATAGCTGACCACAGTTCAAATCCTGGACTCAGAAGCTTAAGACATGCGTGCCCCCCAAATCTCAAAAGGACAATGGAGAAGGGACTGTGCCCTGGCCATTCCTCCTCAGGAGTGAATTCTCACTTTCTCTCTCTCTCTCCAGCAAGTGCACACATCCTATAGCAAAAATCTCTCAAAAGAAAAAAAAAAAAAGTAAAAGAAAACTTGGGCCAGCTGGATCCCATATGGTCGACTATGCACTTTATGAGTCCCCAACTCAGTGGCTTGAAAATAACACACTGGCACATGTGTGTGCATGTCCAAAATCTCAAATGGAGGGGAAAATGGAGATGCAATCATGGTGTGATCATTGTCCAAGGGGGATGCTTTCTCACCGAGATTCTCTCTCCAGCAAGCACACTCACCTTCTGGCAAATTAAAAAAAGGAAAAAAAAAAAAAAAAAAAAAAAAAAAAAAAGAATAGAAACTCTACCCAGACCTATGAGATTGAATTAGTAATTAGCAATCAAACTTTTTCCCAGAAAAGAAAAGCTAACTCCAGGTGAAATCACTGGTGAATTCTATCAAAGTCTACAGAATGAACACCGATCCTCGGCAAACTCTGGTCAGCTTATGATTCGGACTCAGCTCGATCCTTGACACTACGTACTAGGATGATGCCCGAAGTTTCACTCTGATGACATCCTGTGATCCCATTCCCCTGGAACACCAGTCAGATGTGGAACGTGTATATTCAATCTAGATATCTGAAACAGGACTGTCTCGTAGAATTTTCTGTGATGACAACAATGTTCTATGAGGAGATTTCAAAAAATTCGTAGACAAATGAAATTAAAGTACCTGTTTAATTTGGTGCAAAAGAAATTGGAATTCCCTGAACAGTTTCTCAGAATACGCATCGTCCGTGAACTTTATAAGGACCCTCCTCTCCTCAAATATCTGCATGGTACAATACTGTGGCCACTAGCTGTAGGTGACTGTGGAACATTTAAAATGTGGCTACGGTGTCTGAGGGAACACAATTTTAATTAAAATTCATGTTTAAATGCCTAGGCTAGTTGCCACCATATTGGTCAGGCCAAGTCTAGAACCCTGAATCACTCTTAGTAAGCTAGAGATAAAAATAATGTAATGGTAGTTAAGGTAGCATTTATTGAACAGTCCAGAAGTTAAACTTACAGAATCACTGGGCCCACAGGCAGCATGGTGGGCCCGCAGGTGGCGTGGTGGTGAAGGGCGCAGCACTCCCACATGGCCAACTGTGGTTCGAATTACGGACCAGGTGGCTTGCTTTTTCACTCCCTCCTCCCCCACACACATTCTGTCCCTCTCTGGTCAAATTAAAATAAATGAATGAATAAATAAAGCTAAATAAAATACTTTTAAAAAATCATTGTCTTTTAGGATTATGGGAAATTACCTAAAGTGATTCAGGCCCTCTCTTTGGTCTATATCCTTGCCATTATCTGACACATTAACCTCATTCATGTGATCACTGAGCAAATATTTATTGAACATCCATTAATAATAGAAAGTTGAACTTTTCTTTTTTTTTTTTTTTGAGAGGTTTTTGCTATAGAGCATGTGTGCTTGCCAGAAAGACAGAGAGATAGAAAGTGAGAAATCACCCCCCAGGAGGGATGGCTATGCTGCAATCCCTTCTCCTCCATTCTCCTCTTGGGATCTCGGGCGGGTACGCACGCACACGCACCCAGAGTGAGGTTAAGCCACCGGGCCCGGGGCTCAAACCGCGGTCAACTACATGGGAGTCCAGCGACATAGCCATTATGCCAACTGCTGGTCCCAGAAAGTTGAACTTTCTAAGACATGTCCGAAGAACACAGTTTACCTGCAGTTTTCTCAAAATCCATTTTATGGATCATTTTGACAAACCTGTATTGACTAGCAGGTTGGGAAGCTGACAGAAAGAAACCCAAAATAAATTATCTTTGAAAGTAAGAGAATCCTGGGCTGGAAGTCCACACTGCTTTGGCTAAGTGATGATTTCAGAGACCCACATTCCTTCTTCCTCCTGTCCCTCCATCCCTGAGGGCTGCTCAGGCAATGGCCTGCCAGATGGGGAGTGAAAGGGACGAGGGAGAACAGACTCGGTCCTTCGGCCCGCACATGTCACCACTAGCTATGTTGCACCAGCCAGAACTTAGCTACGTGGCCTCACCTGGTCACAAATGAGTCTAAGAGAAACAGTGCCGGGCCGTCCCCTGCTCACCCTGTACCAGGTGATAACTAACGGGCACAAAAGGCAGTGTTCTGTTACCGAGGGGAGAAGGGGAGAGTAGTGGGTACTAAGGAATAAGTAGCAGTCTCCACAATGACATTGCCCCGAAATGTTCTGGGTTCCACCTTAAGGTAAGACGTCTTACATTCCTGTGGTGAAATAAGGGACATTATTAAAAGGACACACCCTGTCACCTGTCACTATTATACAGCTTTGCAGTCACAAAAAATTCAAAGGAAAACAAACAAAATGAAAATAATGTTTTTTGTTTTGCCCATCTAAGTACGTTCAGTCCTTTATTTGAAGCAGCAAATAAACGTGCATTTGAACCCACGGAAAGCCTATCAGAGCCACAGACACAGAATCAGAAAGTTGATTGACTCAAAACATTTCGCAACTGTATTGTGATTGGACAATCGTTTATTTAAAATAATATCCTAAATACTTACAAAAATAAATCAAGTATTGCTTCTATTCTTCAAGTGTCAAAGTCTTTGCCATATAAAATAGAAAGGACCTTTTATAAACTAAACGTAACATTTAAGCTACATCGAGTTTAATTACTGCACACTATTTTCTTTTATGGTTTGTGCTTTACAGATTTCCAAACTACGTCTTGCACTGTACAGGTTCACGATAGTGTATGTATGCCACCATATACACACATTTTTACATAGGAATGCTTCTCATTAAATATACAGAGAACCGAACACAGCCCTGTGGCCTAAAAGCCACCTCCCCCAAGAGGACCAGATGTGCCCCTGCACAGACACAGGTGCAGATGTGGAAGCATCGTCTAACACGCAGTTATCACAGATGGTGACGTCTCAGTGAGGGATACTCAGCTGCACATTTCTAGACAGACATTCTTAATCTCTACTACATCACAAATTTGACAGCTTTATTCACTGAAAAAATAGAATAAACTCCAAATATTTCTCAATACGTTAAGTTAATCTCAGGATAAACATCACTGTTGTATGTACACGCTTTAATTGTTTAAAGGAAAAGGAATATCAATCATAGAACGAAATTAAAGATACTATCCAAATTCGTCTGTGGTTTTACTTTACGAAACCACTGGGACATCTGATTCCTTATCAAATGGATAAGTGCTGAGTACCTCTGTCACGGTGTGTGTACACAGCCCCCTTAAATACACGTGTGTGAAACGTTACATTTATAACGCTTTGCCACCCACAGGGTGTCAGTCTCACTATATTAACCAGAGGTGGAAAGGAATCTCACTTCTGATCAGTTCCTGAATGTAGGAATAATCACATTAATCACTTGAAATTACACTAGTCTTATATAAATACTTATATAGCAAACATTTTAAATTCTACTTATCAACTACAAAAGTGATACATCAGAAAGTTTTTTTTTTTTCTAGTAGGAAAAAAGAACCTACTTTCGTGTCCTTATTCAGAAATTTCATGAATTATTTAGAAATTCCCAGTATAATAATTGAAAATGTGGAGCAACTGAACTGTGAAAACACTGCTGATGTTTTACAATAAATCTCATTAAAAAGGAGCTTGAAGAGCTTGTAAAATCTCAGTTATTAGGAATTAGAAACATCAAAGGGGGTAATGTCTTCACTGACCACACTATACCAAAGAGGCCTACTATTCAGAACATTTTAAATGGCATGCTGAAATATTTTCATAGGCTTATTTCCTCTCACTAAAAGTCACAGTCAAGCAGACACTACAAGAATACATGAAAATGCAAACCAACACTATAACTGCACCAATAAAACAAAACATCAAAATCTAAGAGGTAGCTAACAGAAGTAACCCTGATTAAACAAAATATCCTGGTAGATGCTCCCCAATCTCAGAGACTCATATGCAGTATGAAAGTCTTATATTCTCAGGGACTAAAAAAAATAATAGTAGTGGGCAAGAATCTAACCACCAGGTATCTGACTGATTAACACTGTAAATAGAACAATACTTGTATTTGCCAGAAAAGGCTAGAAATAAAATCTAGATCACGAGTCTATAGTCTGCAAGCTAAATCTGGCCTACCACGTATTTTTGTAAATAAATTCTACTGGAACCCAGCCATACCCACTTTGCACATCATACGTGGCTGACTGCTTTCACGCTGTAAAGGCAGAGTTGAGATAGAGACCAGGTAGCCCCAAAAGCTCAAGATCTTTCTAAAACAACTACTGCCCCTTTACAGAAAGTGTGCTGACACTTGGCCTAGACATAGTGCTAACAGGTATGGATCTGTTGAACAGCACTGGAAAGATTAATTACAGTTGTCACCAGAGAAAGTATTCAACTAGACAGAATTTCAGGCTACTTATGTCACAATTCCTTTTCATATCTGAAATAATTCTAATGTTTTTCTTCTTTCATGTTTGTGGTCTAATATCAAAGAGTACTTCCTGATTATCATGAAAAAGACGGTATGGCACTACCCGATAGAAATTCTACAATAAGGGAAAGTCTACATTTGCACCATCAGTACAGTAGCCACTCGCCATGTGGTTACCCAGCATTTGAAATATGGCTGGTGCAACCAAGGAACCAAATTTTAAATTTTAATTAAGTTCACTTAAATCGCTGCATACAGTTCGTGACTACAACATTAGCACAGATTTAATACAATGTAACTAAAATTCCAAAGTGGTGACCTTTAAAAAATGGCCTCCAAATTTAGAAAGTAAGACCTTTGAAAATAATAGCTCTGGGCAGAAATAAACTAAATACCACAAACAGCCCAAGACATCCTCTTTAACTGGTAAATAAAATCAAACTGTTGATTGACTGACTGTTGAAAGTTGTGTCATTGCAACATCTCTTCTTGATGAAGACACAAAACTATTATTCCGTGGTGTATCTTTTTTGAGCAGAAGTTGTGCTTAAAAAGTTTATGCTTAAAAGCAATCATTGAAGTCCTCACTAGTTATATTAAAAAGTATGTGGATATGTCACATAAAGTCTGTATTTTAGCCTGTTTTTACCTCTTAACAAATGTCAGCTTACTTCCCCCTTAACATTGTCGTGTTGCTGTCCAGAAGCCCTTGTTTACAACAGGCACACGAGAGGACTAGACCCTCTTCAGAATGTGCAGTTTCCCATTAATTGCATTTCCCATGACGATGTCATCCCAGTTGTAAAATCTTGCAAATGTTCTCTCTTCCGTGACATGATAAACCGCATGCGTTCAATGACACAATGAGAGGACAGAAGGGAAACTTCATACATACCGAGTCAGAGAGAGCTTACTCTCGTACGGTTCTCTATGTACCTACCTCAAGACCATTTTAAATGGACCCCAGAATTAAAACAAATCTAGGTACATTTTAAAATTATATATTGCTGATTACCTATTAATCGAGTTACTGGTAAAGCTGAAAACATTAAACTAAAATACACGGAGTCAATTGGAAATTACAACACTCTAAAGACAGAGGTCTTCCGAGATGTGTGCCTAATGCATCTTCCAATTATTCAAATGTACTCCCTCAGAAAGATAACTAGTTCTATACTTTGTTTTCAAAGTCAGCTGGCAAAACTAGTTTGAGGCATTTCGATTTGAAAATATCACAACATCATGAACTTCTTTTTCAATCGGGTAATTGTTGAAAGGTACAAAATATTTTAAGGGCACTTCTGTTTATGTTTTCTTTTGCAATTTAATCAGCTGATGTAGCAGGGACCTTAACAGAGAGATTTCTTCTGGTGTTGGTGATGTACCGTTGTTGTGCTAAGAAAGACCGTGCAGGGGTACACACACCAGCCTCTTTACACGCACCACTGCTGCTCACAAGTCTAGACTCCATCCCCAGTTTCTGGAACGCTAGACTCTGAATGGAAACAAAAACAAATGTATGTATAACATAACTGAATATTTTGAGCTTTAAAAGTGCTTTTCACATATGTAAAGTCATTTAATCCTCAGAACAATCCTAGAAAGATGAGGTTTTCCTCATTGTAATAGAAGAAAATAAAGGTTCAGAAGTTTATTCTGCATATAGTAAGGCTACTCAGAAGACATAGATTCCAGTTTCTCTATTTTAATCCACTAAATAAGAAATGGTTAAAAACAGTAGTTTAAAATAATGTCATGAAAGCAGACTTAATTACAACAATAGGCAAAAGTTCCGAAGCAAATGTTTGTGTTTGGGCCCTCACTTCATTAGCCATGAGAGGAAACACAGCGTAGCAGAGAGCTGGGTATCCATGTTTAAGTATGGTCCCGGGATTAACAAGATCAGTTACCACTGGGAATATGGTAAAAAGGTAAATCTGGGGCTTTGGCCAGATCTACTGAATCAGAATTTAGTCATTATCCTGCCTTGCAGGAGGGCCCAGCAATTTGTGTTTTAATAAGTCTTCTGATGCATGCTAACGTTTAACTGATAAAGTTCAAAATTACTAAGGCCTATCTACATATTGATACATGACAGATTACTGAAGTTTTGGCTATCGGGTGTCTTATAAGGGAAGTATCACGCTTTCACAAGACCACATCCCCACACAATTTTATTGAATGTAGCATCATGAGTAGCTAGAAAAACACATGGAATTAGTAAATGCTCAACAAATACAGATTAGAAAATGGTGCTACTTGGCTCTAATACCTTCACTAATTTATGAATTAGGAGTCCACAGAGGATTAAAGAGTCCCTGATCTCAAGTAGGAAGGGTAACTAGTGAGGGCGGTTTCTGGGAATACCTGCACGTGATTTTGTTCATTGTCTTCTGGCTATATTAAACCAGACTTTACCAAATAGGGCAAGAAAAACAGTATGGCGGCACGAGAGAACAAGGTATGGTCGAGGAAGGCCAGCTAGTGCTGTGTGATAAAGCACGCTGCTCACATGTGGGAAGTCTACGAGTCAATATGCTTTCAGATTAAATAAGAATAGACAAAAGTAGATCATGGCTGCTGATTCTAGCTAACTAGAATAACCCAAAAGAACCATGTACATCAGAAAAAAATCTCAAATTAACTTTGTGATTTTCTCCTTGGTAGGACAATCAATTATTGAGTATTCCCAAGATTAATAAAATAATGGCACATTAAAAGGCTTAAGAGGATGTTAAAAGACATACTGAGTACTAAAAGGATTTAATTTTAATTACACAGATATTCATGTTTTTCCAGAAACTTTTTATGAGCATAAATTAAATGTAACTTCAAATAAGATAATTTTTAAAAATTATGAATTGTTATGCCTCTGCATCATTTGTATCACCTAAATGTTGATAAGTTACAAAATCAATTTATTGGATTATGGACATTTTTAAAAACTAAGTATGACAGATAATATCTGAATGCAACACATACAGCTAGATAACTTGTTTCAGTTATAAACATAAATATGATGTGTCCTGGTTTATGATATAGAATATATTTTCTTCTATTGTTTCTGACCAAAAATGTTTGATAAATTCTATCCTAAATGTCTAGCTACTGAATGAATTTTAACTCACCTTATTATACCACGCAGAAACAATGAGTTTTTCTTCATAATCACGGAATTTTGCTACTTTACATTCACTCTGGAAGAAGATTAAAAAGAGAATTAAAATAATGGAAACCTCCCCAAATTACTAAAAACAGAATAATTTCTTCATCATATTCACTGTTGAGAGAATCTGAATATTGCATTTTTCAGGCAAATAAAGTCAGTCAAAACATAAATCACACAGAAATGCATACAAAACACGTTTTTTGAAATAATGAGATCTGTGACTAGTAATTTTACTTCAGGAATTTTACTGGTAGAACAGTGCGGTTTAAACACGCACCCATACACAGACTCACACAAAACTAGTGATTCTCATGCTACTATCCCCTATATCTAAAGGAAAAAGTAACAATTGGTTTAGGTATCAAAACCAAGTAGCTCCTACAGAGGAGTCCAAACTAAGGGGGGAAAAAAAGAGGTAACTAAAAAATACTTAGAAAAACCCTTTAAAAAGCCCTTTAAAATCACCTATAAAAACTTAACACCATTTTTTTCTTTCTCAATTCTTGGGGGACTGAATGCTGAATTTCCTGCATGCCACCCTACAGATGGGTATAATCCAGTATAGCTTATTCTTTCTTATTTATTTTTAAAGAGATTTTTTTTTTTCCTTTGGAGAGATTTTTTTGCCATAGGGCGCATGCGCTTGCCAGACAGACAGACAGAGAGACAGAAAGCGAGAAATCACCCCCCAGGGGGGATGGCCACGCCGCAATCCCTTCTTCTCCATTCTCCTCTCAGGATCTTGGGCATGCACGCACACGCGCCCAGCATGAGATTTAAGCCACTGGGTCCGAGACGTGAACCATGGTCGACCACATGGGAATCCAGCGACATAGTCATTACGCTAACTGCTGGCCCCAAGAGATTTTTGCTATAGGGCATGTATGCTCGCTGAAGAGACAGACAGAAATCAGGAAATCATCTCCCCAGGGCAGGTGGCCACACTGCAACCCCTTCTCCATTCTCCTCTCAGGATTTTGGGCATGCACACACACGCTTGGTGTAAGTTTTAAGCCTTTGGGTCTAGGACTCGAATCGCAGTCAATGATGTGGGAGTCCAGCGACGTAACCATTACTCCACCTGCTGGTCGCAGTATAGCTAATTCTGTAATTCTGTTGAGTACCAGATAATAGTTGACTTATATAAAAAATTATAATCTTGGGGGTGAGCACTTGAATCTTCCCTTAGCAAGATATTCATGATATAACAACAACAACAACAAAAACATAAGAAATCAATCAGAGGTAAAACCTTCTCTGGCTCACACTCCTGATGAGATAGGATCTCAGTAGGACCAAGAACCCTCCAGGACTCGCTGCCTAACCAGGATTAGGATCACAGGAGGGATATCTGCTCCAGACTGCAGGGGTTGTGGGAATAATGGCTGGCTGAAACCAGTTAAAATCCAGATGGCTTTGAATGAGCCCCCTATCTAACCTCAAAGCTCATTACAGTCTAATTTCAATTCATTAGAATGCTAAATGACGCTCTTATTGGTGCCACGATAGTTTATAATAACCATGGAAACTGCTGGAAGCAACCCCATATGGCAAGAAAATGGAAGGAATCCTAGTTCCAGGAAAACTCCACCCCTGTCCTGGAAACTCTATGCATATCTGCCCCTCCCCTTGTATTCCATTAAAAAGAAGCAATACAGATCATGTAATATTTCTATTTGTGGGTTGTTCAGTCTCTGGAGCACCCTCTCGCCACTTGTCTGTCTAATAAACCTGCTGTCACTTTTGGTCAACAGCTTGCTCCTGAATTTGTTTCTGAGTGAAGCCAAGAACCCACAAGGTCTGGGGCACGAAAGGGGTCCTGTCCGGCATCACAGGCAGACTCCCCAAGAGGGGTGGCAGATAGACCAGCCTTTGGTACTTACAGTTATTTTTCTTTTTTGCTGTGTGTGTATAAATGACACATATAAATAGCTATAGGCTGTAATGAACTGTTTTTTTCCTAGGAGTCCTATAGTTTGAAGTGTCATTTTGTCAGTTTACTTGTTAGGGATCTACATTTCGAACATAACGACACTGGACACTCTTACCGGCTTTCACTGGAAAGTAAACAATCAGAGCCATTTAGACTTCAGAGATTACCCAGTCCAAGTCTTGGTGTCTCAGACAAGACGTGACTGAGACCCAGACCCCACAGGAGAGGTGATAGCTTTAAGGCAAGAAGTTACTTTAATAAAGCTGTCATCCTGTCTTCTGATTTGTGTACTGTTTCTTGCTGGGTGTACAGGGACATAGTAAGACCCAGCTTTCGATCCCAAAACACCTCGATACATGACAAAATGAAAACCACTGCTGTTATGGGATGGATTCATGAATTGAAAGTATATGGACTCACCATGAAGAGGACTTTTGACTTAGGAAGATAGGGAAAATTTTATAGAAGAAAAGACATTTGGGGGCCAGCAGGTGGCATGGTGGTTAGGGTGCTGGATTCCCACATGGCCGACCATGGTTTGGCCCTGGACCTGGAGGCTTGCTTTCTACTTTCCCTTTCTCTCTCTCTAGTCAAAGTAAATAAATAATAATAATAACAAATAAAATGAAGTAATTAAAAAAAAAAAAGAAGAGAAGGAAAGACATCTGAATTGGGTGTTGAGGGATTAATAGCATTTCTTCAGACAGATAACCCTACCCAGTGCTTTTTATGACATTCAACATGACATGGATGAGCACTGAGAACAAGTACACCTCAGGTTGGAGTACTCTGGATGTAGGAAAGGAAAAGGTGTTAAAGCTTTTAAATCTGTAAGAGAAAATAAGTTCACCACAGTCCATAGCGCCAGCAATAAGGCATGTGAACAGAATGTATTTCTCTGAAATAAGATGCTCCTGGTTGGATTAAAATGAAACCAGCTACCATTTATGAAAACTTCAAGGCCAGTATACGGAACTCAACATGGCTCTATAACTATACCTGTTAAGAGGTAATATACACTGACTTCAAGAGTAGCATCAAATCTGGGACGAGCAGTTAGCGTAATGGCTATGTCGCTGGACTCCCACGTAGTCGAGTGTGGTTCGAGTCCCGGACCCGCTGGCTTAAACTCACGCTGGGCACGTGTGCGTGTGTGCCCAAGATCCTGAGAGGAGAATGAAGGAGAAGGGACTGTGGTGTGGCCATCCCCCCTGGGGGGTGATTTCTCACTTCCTATCTTTCTCTCTCTGTCTGTTTGGTGAGCGCACGCACCTTATAGCAAAAACCTCTCCGAAAAAAGAAAACAAAAAGAGTAGCATCAAATCTCATCACAGTATTACAAATAGCAGCTTTCTAAAATACTTTGTAAAAAAACTATAATATGTCCAATTAGGAAAATCCAAGTATATACCATTCCATACTAACATCTTTACCTAATAAGCTCAAAAAGATAATATAACCACAAGCATAAAAATGTCTTTAAACTGTGAAGACTCAGCCAATTAATGAGAGCATGTCATTACTAATTTAACTCTCCAAGACTGCCACTTTAGTTCAGGGGCTTACTGAGATTCTATGAGTATGTCTTTCCCCCAGAAATCCCAACTGAGTTTAAGTTCAAGTGAGAAATATGGAGAAGAAAACTTTGGTTAACAGTGTGAACTCACTAGCTTTTTAAAAAGTTTTTTTTTTCCTTTCACATTTTAAAAGGAATGTTATAATAGAACCCTATTAGAAAGTCAAAAATAACCATATGGCTGCCAGGTACAGAAGGAGAGAAATAAAATACAGTATATAGTTTTATTTTGTTTTCATGAAAACAAACTTACACTTTAGTTCATAGAAAAAAGAATTAAAGTATGAGTTTATTTTCATGCAAATTTTTTTTCATATCCTATGCATAGGTTTTTTGTTTTTTTAATAATATACACTTTCCGTGAACTTTTTGAAGACCATGCATACACTGTACAGAAACTGATTGCCTGGGTTTCTTCAGGTGCCTTCTAGTAAGAATACTGAGTGCTAGAGCATACTCTAAGTTTCTCCTATAACTTGATCATTAAGGCAAATATACAACAGCAGTTAATTACCAGGATTCCACAGCATAATTGAGAGATGAGGAATGGAGATATGGAAATTTTACCTCTAGTATTTCAATTCTTCTCTCTTTTTCTGCCAACTGCTTTCTGAGTAGCATTATTTCAGCTGATGCTGGATTTAGTTTGGGATCTAAAGTTTTTATCACCTGTTGAAAGAAAAAGAATTACATTTACTTTATCCTTGAAGTATGTAAAATAGACAAATATATTCTGTAAAAACTGTAAGTAGAATGGAAAATTATCTATAAAGTCATCTAGAAGATAAATGTATCTTGTTTTACAGTTAATTAGAATAACTTATTCTACAGACAAGAAATGGCAGGACCAGTAGTTAGCATAATGGCTATGTCGCTGAACTCCCACGTAGTCGACTGCAGTTTGAGGCCCAGACCCAGTGGCTTAAACTCATGCCGGGCATGTGTGCGTGCCCAAGATCCCAAGAGGAGAATGGAAGAGAAGGGACTGTGGCATGGCCATCCCCCCTAGGGGGTGATTTCTCACTTTCTGTCTCTCTGTCTCTCTCTGTCTCTCTGGTGAGTGCACATACCCTATAGCAAAAACCTCTTTAGAAAATGGAATAAAAATTTATTATAAAAATGGGAAGATCCCCATCCCTAAGTCTGATTTTCCTTTGTCAAAACCCAGCATCCAGGGAGAGTCACTGTGGCCTTTTCAGTGCTCAAACATTGAGTACTGAGGTCTTACAATGATCCTTTCCACATTTACCTGACTTGAGGATTTTTTTTACCAATCAAAATAAATCTAATAAAGGGATTTGCTGATTTTACAAAGTAAAAAGTAACACAAAAAACAATTCCTAGCAATAATCATTTTTACTGTCACTAGTCTAATTCAAAATGTAAGATCAATACAATATACATTGATGATTTCATCTGCAAACAGTAGTGTACACCTTCACATTCATGGGAATTACTAAAAGTTGGGGGAAAAGGGGTGTTTGATCAGAATGTAGCGTAGTAAGAACATTTAGCTATACTACACACATAGCATTCTGCTAGGACAGCAATTAGAAAATGTCAGGTATGTACTATAAGCAGAAACTAAAAATTTCCAGTAATAGGGGTATCTCTAGGTTGTAACTATAAATCTACTAAAAAAAAGTTTTCAAATTATTTTGTGAGTTAGGAAAGCGTCTACATTTATAGAGGTAAAGGAATAGCACTAGAAGGTAATATACCAAATAGTATTGTGGTTCACTCATGCATGCAAAACCATTTTCTGAGTGTGGACTGTGTGGCAGACACCATGGCATATGGGGGTCTGGTAATTTATAAAAAAATCTGGTACTTGCCCTCATGGAGTTCACATAATAAAAGCAGAACACAGGGACAGCAGGTGGCTTAGTGGCTCAGGTTGCTGGGCTCCCACATGGCCAACTACAGTTCAAGTCTTGGACCTGGCAGCTTGCTTGCTCTCTCTCTCTCTCTGTCTTCTGTCTCACCCCCCCCATTTTTGTCAAATTAAAAACAAAAACAAATAAAGTTAAATAATTCTTAAAAAAAAAAAGTTTAAAGAAAAGCAGAACACACCAGAGAATTTAAATTATAATTTAATTACAAGGAGAAAGTAATAATTTGTCTCTAAATGATTAAAAGTATAAATGTGACTTTTTATATTTTCTATAGTGAACATAGGTTGTTGTTATTTTTTTTTTCAAGCTGCTGGGTTAAGGACGGGAACTGTGGCAAACCAGGTAGGAGTCCAGTGCCTTAACTACCACACCACCTGCTGGCCCTACGTTATTATTTTTACACTATTTTAAACTCTCCTCTCAAAGAATGTGAGGGGAAAAATTAAATCAAGTTTATCAAAGCAAGCAACTTCTCTTAAATGAAAACACTAAAGATGATGATAAGATGGTATCTACTCATTGCCATTGCTTTGTTGGATCAGTTACAATCCTTTAAGAACGTTCATTTAGAAGATACATATCAATTGTCTTGGGGCCGGCAGGTGGCGTGGTGTTTAAGGGTGCTGGACTCTCACAAAGCTGACTGTGGTTTGAGTCCCGGACCTGGCAGCCTGCTCTCTCTCTCTCTCTCTCTCTTACTCTCTCTGTTCCCTCTCTGTTCAAATTAAAATAAATAAAGTTAAATAATTCTTTTAATAAAAATAAAAAGAAGGTACTTCTCAACTGTCTCATTAAAATGACTTATCCTTTGACCCAATACTTCCAATAGTAGAAAACAGGGTTAAGACAATAAACCAAAATAAGAAGAAAGCTTTCTGTATAAATAGGTTGCCTGTCTTATTTCTGCAAGCAAAATATTAAAAAGAAATGAAATTTATGTTCCGCAATAAGATAGTGATTATGCAAACTATGATAGATCTCACACAAGTGAATATAATGTAGGCCTCGCCACCCTTCTGCTTCACAGCAATCTTGCTCTTTGCTATATTCCCAGTGTTTAGCATAGCCAGTGCTCAGTAAATAACTTTATTTATGTAATATGAGAAAAGCATTTTAAGCTTAAAAATACAAATTATATACACATACACACACAAATGTGTATGTGTGTGTTTTGTGCATGTATGGATGTGTGTATGTTCATCCATGTATGAATGTGCATGTGTTAATCAACCACGGAAAAAATATGCACTGATGAAAATGTTAAGAAAATACTCTAAAAGGTTAATAGCAGTTTCCCTGGGACACGTTCTACATTTTATATTTTCTACTATAAGCATTTATATGTTCATAACTGAAAGCAACTTTACTAGGGAAGACACTGCCTATTTGCCCTTCCTGCTAGAAACATGTCTATGTGAACTGCCTCTGTCTCAGACGCTGTATGGGTTCTGGCACGGAAAATGGAGGTGAGGTGGTTTACAGTGCTTCTAGGCTGACCCTTCCGCATCTGCTGTAATTCCTCATCACCAGGTCAGACAATGTCCGGGGAATCTGGAACCCCTCTCAGCCTGGGACTCTGAGTGCGTGAGGTAAAGCCTTTCCCCCACCCATGAATGGATTCCTCATGATCAAGAAACTCTCCTGTCAAGCCTCAAGATCCTGGGGTTCATCTGCTGCTGTAAGTTTTGTTTATACTTTAATTAGTAAATATTATATGAAACTTCAATATAAAAAAGGCACTTATTACTATAAATTGAACACGTCCCCATAAAATTTTCTTTTATTCAGTAAGTAGAAAAGAGTACAACAATATTCCCTTAGAGAAAATACTTATATGTGATACTCATGGTAATGAAACATTTTCATGTACATAACCTTACAGGTATTTTAGAAAAATTAAAGAAAGAAAAAGAAGAATTTATTCTAGTGACCATTAAAACACTGTTTACCTGTCTGATCTGGACTAAATGTTAACACAATTTCAAACAAGTTTAAAATGTTTAATTTTCACAAAAGATAACTTAATTTTGCTAAGATTCTAGTAAATTTCATTCTTAGCATATTTGCTAAGATCTAGCAAATAAAAATTCTAGGCTGATTTTGCTGAGAGCTAAAGATACCATGTATTACAGCAGTCACTTTGGGTAATGAGGTCACAACAGTCAATGCTTAAACTGTTCCAACAAGCTCTGTGCTTATTTTATTCATGAGGGCTAATGTGGAGACATGCCAGGAACCTGCCAACACACTGCAGAGGAAAGATGCAGATATAAGAGTAACACTGCAGGGACCAGCGGATGGCATGTTGGTTACATCACTGGACTACCATGTAGTCGGCCACAGTTCTAGTCCTGGACCTTGCGGTTTAAAACTCCCACCACGCATGTGTGCACGCATGCCCAAAATCCCAAGAGGAGAACGGAGAAGGGACTGTGGCATGACCATTCCCTGTGGGGGGTGATTTCGCACCTTCTGTCTCTCTGACAAGCACACATACTCTATAGCAAAAATATCTCTCCGGAAAAAAAAAAAAAAAGAATAACAGTGCAATACTGGGTGAAATGGACCTCATTAGAACACTGGCCACGAAGCTTGAGCTCTGAAACACGGTCACTCACATTTCTGGCTTTTTCCAAGTACATTTTATATCTTTCCTCCATTGCTTTCATATCTTCATCTTTCTTCTGAAGAGCAGCTTCAAGTTCACTGATCTTTTGTACTGGTAGAGAAATTAAAATTAAACATGACCAATCACTATTCACTTAAAATACTCTATCCTAACATAAAAAATTATACATATTCATTTTCTAAAAACTGTTAAGAGAACTAAAAAGAGACATCTTTTATTTCCTGTTTGTAGTCAATTCTCTTCTACTACAACCAGTATGTCTTGATCAATTACGATGATTAAGTTTACTTATTTATTTCTTCTGGAAAGAAGGGGCAGGCACTCCCCACATCCAGGGTCTTCGTGCCACGATCCGCCCCTCGTGCCATGAAGCCAAGGTCCTAGACACACATATACACCCAAAGTGCACATGGAGGCCTCACGATGGGACACAAACCTAGGCCCTTCCCAAACAGCCTCAGCGTCCAGAGTGCTGTGTTCCAGCTGTCACTGTACTTGGCCTCGATCGTTTATAATTTATCCCTTTATAAAAAAAAAATCTATCATCTGCCTTATCTGATGATTTTTCTATCAAATAGTTCAAAGAGCAAGTATACCTTGCAATGTAAGTACAATCTTAATAGGAAAAAATAAAGCATTATTTCTACATAATGATATGAAGTTCACTTTAATCTGATTTGAAATCATTATTTTCTTCACTTTTCTAGAGTATTCTACAATATTTTACAATGTTTGATACTCCTATATACCAGTTCATTGTATTCTATTTACATTGTGTGGCTTTAAGAGTGGATCATTTATTAATGACCGTGGTTCTTATTTGCAAGGTATGTGTTGATGCACTGTGCAAAGGCTCACACAGCTCCTACATCCTGTAACTGGAAAGGGTGAGCCCTCAGCTAGAGTCTGACCCAACTCTGCACAAATACCTACCATTTTGATTTATATCTGGCTGAAGATCTTCAATGAGCTCTTGTTTCTTCTGTAATTCCTCATGGACCTCTGTTAGCTTTTCCCTAAGTAGTGGAGAGAGCATGGAGCTTCGAGTCAAACACACCTAAGAATAAAAACTTGTCTCTGCCATTTAACATTTGTGGTCTTTGGGCAAGTTGCTTTCTAATCCTCACCTGTGATGGGAATAATACCTGCCTACCTATAAAGGTTATCATGAGGTTGGACATAACCTCCTGACACACGGTGGCTACCAAAAATGCTAGTCTTTACCTTGTCACTGTCACAGTTCTTAAGGAAATATTTTATAGGTTTAATATACTACATAATCTAGGAGTGATGATTATCTCCTTTGTTAAACTCTTCAAATGACACTGGCAACTATGAAATGCAGGCGTGTGGGATGGCTGGCAGATGGGTGGAAAATTTCAGCGTGTTTTCCTTTCTACTTTTCAGTGGCAGTGGTGAACATTCAATTAGTGACAGAGTAACAGAGTATTTTCTTCAAAGACAAAGCTAGGAAAGGAGACAAACTTTAAAAGTTTTTGCAACCCTCCCCTCTCAAATTGGAAATGAAATACTGTGTTACTTACATATGAGCTTCCAACTTCTGCTTTAGTTTGCTGGACTATAAAATTAAAAAACACTGCTGTAAGAGGACTATCTTGACAAAGGTAAATTTTCCAGAGATCTACATCTTTTGACCTTCTTTTGAACATGTACTATGTAAAAATTATGCTTTTTTAACATTTGTATTTCTAGCAGTATACTTTTAAAAGCATATAATTTTGTTATTTTTTTTAACTTTAAAAGGGAAAAGAGAATAGGAAATGAAATAATGATGACAACAGCAGAAAGAGAAATGTCTCACTTTTGAATAAAAATGTAATAAAAGTTAAATTTGAACTTGAAGGAAAATAGCAAATGCAAGCTCAACATGATATATCAAGGAGTATCAAACATTTAAATATCTAAAGAATCATATGCTCAAAAACATATTTTAAGATTTGGGGCCTTTAATAAATAATGGACTTAAAGAACTAAAATAATTGTCTTTGTAATAAAGCACCATTCATTTATACGTGTAAGCCTTTAAAATGAACACCAAAATGAGACAACTAGATTTTGTTAATAAAACAGTTTTAAACATAAAAAAGTTATTTTTGATAACAGCACTTTAAGTTGTAATAGCAATTCTGCACCTATTGAATCGCTGAAGAGTTTAAAAGACAGAATCTGAAATATAATTTGGCTGCCAATAAACTAAAAGATAAAGAAACTTAAAATATTTAATATACTGCAACCCAAACAAAATGTACCCTCCCAATAGAGCCTACTTGAAAAGTATTCCCTAATGTGGTTTTAAAAATACGCGTATTAGAGAGGTTACAATACCGTATATATGCACATATGAGATGCCGCCATGCATGAGACGATTTCTATTTTCCAAGCCCCCAGGAAAAAAAGAGAAAATCATATAAAGCATATAAAAGACAGAAAGAAAACTCAACCTTTTCACTCTTTCTTTTCATCTCTTTACTTTTCAGAGTTTCCTCCCCCATCAACACAGGTATCATTGCCTAGCAATGCATCTGATCTCCATCAGTCAATCTCGGAAATACACCTAGCCCTACGATTTTTACTGCATTCTTAATGAAATACATCCTTCTCTCAATCATTGTTTCTTTTCCTCTCCATATACAAAGATCAAATTATAGAAAAACTGCTAGGTATTTTAGAGTTATGTTAAATTTGATCTAAGTCCTCTTATCTCTGCCTTCAAAGCAGTGAGAAAGTGGCAAGGCTGAGAGTCAAGAAGGGGGAAGAAAGAAGGGGGATGACCAAGACTGCGGTAAGGTTCTGTCCTTCAGAGCTGAACAAGCCATTTCCCGAATGGTCTTTTGATAGAAATCATATTCTCATTCTATTTTCCTATTAGAAGGTTGTCTCAATTCTGAATGCTGTGACTTTCATTTGGACTTGTCTCAGGCCAGGCCAGTTGGAATTCCAGTACAACTATGAAGGCCTCAATTCTAGCATGCCCTCAATCAAGAATTTTCATGAACGCAGGTGTAGCTGTTGATGCAGAATAGATAGAAATCACCTTGTGACATAAATGATCAATTCACAGGCTCCCAGTTGGCAAAAATCACTGCATCTGTTATGCAGATATATACGGTATTAAGGCACCCTCAGTAATAAGGGTAGCACTTTCAAATGCAAGATTACTTTGGGTATCAAGACCTACTAAAGAGAATCCATATATAGCACAATTAGTATAATTTACAAGGTACTTACACTTTCACCTTCAGACTTGGAACCTTGCTCTTGCAAAGACTTCTGGAGGTCCTCGATTTGCTGTTGCAGTTCTCGGATGCGCTCTTTGCTCAGTCTGTTGGAAGATGAGTCATATGTAATTATGTGTATCCAAAGGCAAAGCAGTTAAGGATCTATAAAGGTGCATTTATGCAATTTACCTCAGAAGCAAATACAGATTTGGTAGCAATAACAGATGCAGAACAATTATCTGTGACCAGGTATAATAGGAAGTCCTGCAGGCTACTTCTAAGGAAATACTTAAACAAAACTTCATATCCTGAAAGCACAGCATGCCCACATTTAAGAAATTCAAGGCAATTATGTATCAGTGACCAAAACATAACATTTCTGCACTGAATTCACTGGTAGAAAAATGAGAAAACCAGCTCAGTTTTCCAATGGTTGTATTCTGAATAAACAGAAACTAGATTTCCTTCTTCTACTCCAGATTTCACTGTGTATTGGAAGACAAGGAAGGTCACCATTTTCCAACCGTTTCTTCAGGTATTTTATTTAAATGGAAGAGACTGGCACTAGCAACTGGTGTGTATTTTAACTTGGCAAGATCTCCTTCTTTAAAATCCTGCTTATGAACTGACGTCCACTAAAAACTACCAGCCACAGTTAGTATCTCTTCCTCTCCTATGTACATAAACATATACACATGTACATATATATATATATATATACACATGACACCACATGCCTGCCCACTATTCTTGCTATTATCTGTGCTTCTGTTGGTCATGTCATAGGCCAGCATGATGTCAGGTTCACCTTTGAACTTTCCAGCTGCCAGAATTACGAACTAACAAACCTCTTTTCTTTATAAACCACCCAGTCTCACGTATTTCTTCTAGCAATGCAATAGCATTAAGATATCCACATATTTTATAATATGATTAAGAGGAATTACTTGACTTTTTTTAAATATAAAGTTAAACTTACAGTGCTAAGAGACTAACAAAACAAAAATTTCAAACTTCTTCTAGATAATTCTAACTAGTTTCACTACAATGCTATTTTCCACTTTTGTGAATCAAGATCCTATGGCTCAGTAATGACAGCACCACAGTTTCAGTGATAAAGGCCAACGGCACCTTTGCTCGGTTTCCAATTCGTTCATCCTGCGGTGCTTCTGCTCCAGCTGCTCCTGAAGCTCCTCGATTCGCTCATTCTCGGTTCCTTCCTGCTGTAGGCGAAGCATCTTATTTTCATGTTGCAGTCGGATAAATACCTCCCTGATTTTGAAAAGCAAAATTTGATTTCAAATTTTTAAAAATGAGTATATTCTTTTTTTGAAAAAGGACATGTCTGCCCGTTCTATAATTATCACTTTAAAATACAACCAAAACTTCTGAGAAATCTAATTTAAAAATGATGTACACTGCAATACTGTGTCTCAAAACAAGCAGTACATTCCTAAAGGAACTAGTATAGGATTGTGCTATATATTAGTAAGTGATTATTATGAAAGTCCTCAAAAGATAATACAAATTATTTTACTTTGGTAATTTAGGAACTATTCACTCAAGGAATAGATAGCATAGAATTAGAAAATGAATAAGTAAAAAGCAATAGATTTAAGAAACTATGGTTTCATAATGCCTAATTCTTTTTAATTGCTAGAGGGGATGTGTACTTGCCAAAGAGAAAGGGAGAGAGAGAGACCAAACACCCCCTCAGTAGAGCATGGTCCCTCCACAACCCCATTTCTCCATCCCATCAGGATTTGGGGGACCCAAGGACATGTGATTTTTAAGCCCCTGGGACAGGCACTTGAATTATGATCAGCCACGTGGGATCTCGCTCTGTCCAAACAGCACTTACTTGCTGTACTGTGCTGCCAGTCCTAAATTTTTTAAATGTATTTTAATTATAGTGATAAGACAATTTCCAGATCTTTAGTTCTTGAAAAAAAATGAAGACATACATGTTTTAAATGCAAAAAGGTATTAAGTAGCAAGATAACGCTTTCCTACTTGCTTCTCTCCCAAATCCCATTCCTCAAAAGCAACTAATTTCCCCAATGCTCATTCTTCAGAAAGTGAGCACAGTGACTCTGAAAAGCTCTCCTGTGGCTATTTCAAAAGCTGTTACTTTTAGGGCAATGATTGACTCCCACTTAGAAATAGTAATTGTTTCCTCTTTCCACATCTACCATCCACTTCTTCCACAAGATTTGTTACATTGTTTTCAACTCTAAACCTTTAAATGATGTGCTTAACCTTTCACAGTTAAAGTAACTTTGTGTTGCATAAACTTCAGACACTAAGTTTTTTTTTTTTTAATAACACATCACAGGCTTTACCACTTAGCAAGAAAAGTCATCATGCAAACTATTACATAATGTGTTATTCAGCAAGTTTATAAAATTTAACTTCTGATAAATTCTTAAATTGCTGTAATAGCAATGCAATCTGGTTAAGAAAATGTAAGCAGATGAGACAAAGCAGTTTTATTTCTATGAACTGTCACTTTCAGGTACATACGAATAAACTAAGAGGGCCTTCAGAAACAACTGGAAATTAATAACTAAAAAGTGCATGCCACTTTCTAGTCAAGCATAGAAGGCAAGGATGTCACACCATATTTTAACAATGAATGAAACTGAACTGAAAACAAGGAACCTTGTAAAGATTATGCTAAGTGAAAGAAGCCCACCACAAAAGGCCACATACTGTATGATTCCATGTATAAGAAATATCCGTAACAGGCAAAACAATAAAGATGGGTGTCAATTATTGGCTGTCTGGGGTTGGAACTGGAGGGGAGGCAGAAATGGAGAGCCAGTGTTACAGGATATCTTTTATGGATAATAAAAGCATTCTAAAATCAGACAGTCATGATGGGTGCACAATACTTTTTTTCCTTTTTTTTTTTTTTTTTTATTAAGAGATTGTTTGCAGGGACCAGCAGATGGCATAATTATACCGCTGGACTCCCATGTAATTGACCATAATTCGAATCCTAGATACAGTGGTTTAAAACCATACTGGGCACATTTGTGTGTGTGTGTGTGTGTGTGTGTGTGTGCGTGTGCACGTGTGTGCGTGTGCACTTGCGTGCGCGCACACGCGCGCTCAAAATCCCAAGAAGAGAATGGAGGAGAAGGGACTGTGGCATGGCCATCTCCCATCACTTTCTGTCAGTCTGTCTTCTGTCTCCCTGGCAAGCACATGTGTCCTATAACAAAAATCTTTCTCTCGAAAAAGAAAAAGATTTTGTTGCTACAGGGTGTGTGCACTCGTCAGAGAGAGAGAGAGAGAGCGAAAGAGAGAGATCACTCTCTAGCCTAGAAAGCCTAGCCAATACAAGACTAGCATGAGTTTCAAGCCTCCGGGTCCAGGACATGAACTGTGGTCAGCCATGTGAGAATCCAGCATCTTACTTACTACAGCATCTGCTAGCCCCATTGGTTGCATAATTCTATGAATTAAAAAAAAATAAGACTACATATTTTTAGATTAATAAATTATCTCTCAATAAAACTATTTTCACAAAGAGTAACGAAAGGTCCAGTCATTGTGGCATTGTAGCACTACAATAATACAGGTGCCCTGCAAATCTGGAAACCACATGACAACCATGAGTTCTCTCAAACTGGCCAGAAAACATGCTGGGAGTAAGTGCAGGAGCCCAGGATTCTGAAGAGCTGGACAGCTGAGGAAACATGATCTCGGTTTGCTGAGAACCTATCAAAGATGCTTCTCCCTCTCTCCCTCCTCCTCTCTCTTTTCTCTGCACTGTGTGTGTGCTCTCTCTCTCATATTTTCTCTTGCACATGTGTGCACACATATTGGGTATTGGGGGAAAAATAAAAGAGTAATAGAGCTATCTCCTGTCCTGGTGGTTAAGGCAGCCAGATCTCACATGACTCAAGCAGCAGTTTGAATCTCAGACCCCAGCAGCTTGAAAAACATGCCAGGCGTGAGTGCATGCATGCCTCAGATCCCACCAGGGCGGAGAAATGGAGCAGACTGTAGAGTGATCACGCTCTACAGGCAGAGTGCTTTCTCCTCTGGCAAGCATACACCCTCCGACAAAAAATAGGAGTAACTAAAGTTTGAAGTATTAAATAAATAAAACTGCTGCCACATAAAGGAAAAGAAAAACACCAAAATATAGATTAGCAAAATGTCTAGAAATAAACATAGCAGTAAAACACCATGATAAAAGTTGGGTCAAGGGACCAGCAGATGGTGCAATGGTTACATCACTGGACTCCCACGTAGTCAACAGTGGTTCGAGTCTCAGACTCAGTGGCTTAAACTCACACCAGACACATATGCGTGCATGCCAAGATCCCGAGAGGAGAATGGAGGAGAAAGGACTGCAGTGTGGCCATCCCCCCTGGGGGGTGATTTCTCTCCTTCAGTCTTTCTGTTATTCCTGCAAGTGCATGTGTCCTATAGCAAAAATCTCTCTTAAAATAAATAAATAAATAAATGTAGGGTCAAAAGGATCCCCTAAAATTTTTATTTTATTTAACTTATTAATTCTCCTGTTATCGACAATTGACCCATGTGAATTAGGATGTCATATATTGAAAAGTTTTCCACAGAGTCAAGGAGTAAGAAAATTTCAACTTAATAAAAGTCATTTTACAAAAACTAAAATTAGTTTTTCAGCAAATGTGTGAAATTTTAGTTCTGATGTATTTTAAAATGGCTGCAGCAGCAATAATTGATTTAGAAAGTTTAAGCAGATGGGACAAAGCAATTTTTCAGCTCTCTGAAAATGAAACATTCTTCAAGGTCAAAGAATTTACAAACAATATTCACACTTCTAATATTAAGAATAATCAATCGATAGCAACAAGTTTACCTATATTCCACTGGCATAATTTCAGCAGCAAGATTCTCATAACTTTTTGTGGCAGAAGCATCTAAATAGCAATAACAAACAGGTTAGCATTTTAGTATTGTAACCATTAAAAAAAAAAAAACCTGTTTTTTCCCCTAAATCTAACAAAATTGACCTGTTTGGTTTAGGTGATCCTGTTGTACTTGCGAGCACCGAAGTTCTTCATTTGTTTCTTTCAGGGTATCACGCTGCTCGATTAATCTCTAAAAAAAATTGTTGACATCAGCAAAGTATTTAATTCTGCCCACAAGCAATGTCGTTTATGCTTATAATAATTTATCTTGACAAGTTCGTTTGATAATTGTTGCTTAGTTAATTAAAAATGACATGTTTTAGTTTTAAGAGACTCATTTTCTCTTGCAAAAGTCACATAAATAATAGTCTTTGCACAACACAGGGCCTATGATTCTCCTTTAGACAATTAATGTTTGCAGAAAATGAAAGCAATTATATAACAAGCAAAGCACAAACAGGAAACTGGAAGGTGGGCCGTAAAAAAGCTCCAGGAGCAAACGCAAGGACTTTGGAGGCAAACAGACCACATTTGAGTTTCACTTTCGCTACTTCCCAGCTGTAACAACGTCTTGGGCAACTTTGGCTTTAGCATCCATATCTTCAAAATGGGAATGCTGATACATAAACCCATGTAGAGGGGTTTTGAGTAACACGTAACATTTTTCAAGCATCCAGAATACATCTGCACAAGATGGAGACCATTTCTGTTTATCGCTGTGAAATTCTACCATAAGAAGTTATAAGCAGCACACAGGAAGTACAAATCTGTGGGAAAACGCCAATCCCCCAGGACAGCATGTTAGTACTTGACATCACTGGCCATTTTCTTTCAATAAAACAGAGCCTATAACAATGACTAATTTTATATTCTGTATAAAAGGCTCACAGTTAAATCATTTTCCTTGAATGTGAGAAGTACTTCTGAATATAAACGTATACTGTAAAGGGTATGGTCCAAGTCAGTAAGTGCAACTGCATATCATCTACTACAGAATTGAAAGTGGTCTAATCATAAATTGGTAACTGATTCAAGAGGTCCTGATGCTGGAGTGTGCAGATGCCCTAGGGATTTCTGAACTCCATAACCAAGAGCTAGGGGCAGGCATAAGCACCTCTGTGATCCATTCCTGTAACATCAACACCAGCAAATTTGGTAACATCAACTATTCCAGAACTCTGAAAATAAATCAAAGGCCTACAGCAACCTGAAGAGCATGTATCAAAGTAAACCTGCTAAACCTAGGCTGGAGCACGGAAGTCTTGGCTCTCTTTTTTTTTTTTTTTTTTGAGAGGCTTTCACTATAGGACGTATGCACTCACCAGACAGAGAGAGACAGTGAGACAGAAAGTGAGAAATCACCCCCCCAAGGAGGATGGGCACGCTGCAATTCCCTCTCCTCCATTCTCCTCTTGGGATCTTGGGCATGCATGCACACGTGCCTGGTGTGAGTTTTAAGCCACCGGGTCGAGGATGTGAACTGCGGTCACCTACGTGGGAGTCCAGCGATATAGTCATTACGCTAACTGCTGGTCCCAAGTCTTGGCTCTTTCAACTTGCCTTATTACTATCTCCTTTCCCAAGTTCTGGAGATGCCTAACACAGGCACTATGAAGATGAATCACTGTAGCCCTGAGAACCAGCAGTGTTGGTAGCCACCAGAAGGGGTCAGCTAGAGTGCCTCTTAAAAAATTTCATCCTCAGAAAATTGTTCCCATTCAACTTGACTTCCAGCTCCCTGAAAAAGCCTCATTTACTGAGACTTTTAAAAAATGTGGCCTGATTCAGTCTTCACTCTGCAGGAAAAGCCCCATTCCCGAGACATTTGGCAAAAGCAGTTATCAGTAGTTATTTATTGCTACAGCTGCTGAAGTCTGTAATACCAGTTGGGGGAAGCGAGAGCCTGACCAAACGTTGCCAAGGAAGAGCTGAGGTACAGGATACTTACAGCAGGCTCTAAAAAGTTTTGACGTGTTTCTTGACATCTAGGAGGACAGACATTAGCGGGGCTGTACACATGTCCAGAAAACAGCTGAAAACCCCCAGTGTCTCAGCCCTGGAAAACTTGAGGCCCAGTACAAACAGGAAATAGAGGCAAAGGCAGAATTTTGGATTTCCAGAAGAAATTAGGGTGTTTTCTGACATACACTGTCTTGGCAAGAGTTGTGAGAGTATTGATTCCAGGCATGTATGGCAACCTGACCAATCACGAACTAGCCATAATGGTAACTGAGCAGAGACTTCAGTGGCCGCTCTTTACAAAGAATGTAGGCATACAGAATTGGGACAAAAAAGATCACTAGGCAAACAAACAAAAACAAATCCTGAGGTTGGCAGAAATCTCATTTCCAGATATGAAATATTGATATTATTTTAAATATCAATTTTTCAATAAAAATATGAAAAGGGACAGGATTGCCAATACACAGGTGAAAATAAACAGTTAACAGAAAATCTTGAATATAAATATTCACAGAAGCATTTTTTATAATAGCCAAAAAAGTAGAAATAGCACAAATGTCCATAAACTGATGAATGGATAAGCAAAATGTGCTATGGAGTATTATTCAACCATAGAAAGGATGAAGCACTGATAGAAGCTACAATATGAACAATCCTTCAAAGAATGAGTTATAAAGACCCAGTGTAGGGACCAGCAGTTAGCGTAATAGCTATGTTGCTGAACTCCCATGTAGCTGACCGCAGTTTGAGTCCCAGACTCGGTGGCTTACACTCATGCCAGGCGCATGTGCATGCCCAAAGTCCTGAGAGAAGAATGGAGGAGAAGGGAACCAGCAGTTAGCATAATGGCTATGTCGCTGGACTCCCACGTAGTAGACCGCGGTTCACGTCTTGGACCCGGTGGCTTAAAACTCACGCCGGGCGCGTGTGCATGCATGCCCAAGATCTCGAGAGGAGAATGGAGGAGAAGGGATTGCGGTGTGACCAACCCTCCTGGGGGGTGATTTCTCGCTTTCTGTCTCTCTGTCTGTCTGGCGAGCACACGTGTCCTATAGCAAAAAAATACTCTCAAAAAAAAAAAAAAGAAAAAAGAAAAAAAAAAAAGAATGGAGAAGGGATTGAGGCATGGCCATCTTCCCTGGGGGGTGTGTCCCGCTTTCTATCTCTATGTCTCTCTCTGTCTTTCTGGTGAGCGCACATGACCTAGAACAAAAACCTCTCCAAATAAAAGACCCTGTGTATAAGACTGCATATTCTAGGTAGACCAGGAAAACCTATAAAAACAGGAAGTAGATTAACAGTTGCTGAGACTAGAGCTAATAGGACCGAAGTGCAGAGTAACTGCTAATGGCCACTGGGTGAGGATGGTGTTCTAAGATTTGATTACAGTGGTGGTAGCACAACTCTGCACAGACACTAAAAGCCAGAGCTGAACACTCCAAAACAGGTGAAGGGTATGGTATTTAAATTATACCTTAATAAAGCTGTTAAAAATGACCTATAGGAACCAGCACGTGGTGTGGTGGTTAAGGTACTGGATTTGCACATGGTCAACTGCAGTTCAAATCCTGGACCTGGCAGCTTGGAAATCACTCCGAGAGTATGTATGTACATGCCTCAAATCACAAGAGAATGGAGAAGAGACTGTGGTGTGGCCATCCTCTCTGGGAGATAATTTCACACTTTCCCTCTCTCTGTCTTCTGAAAGCATGCACATGCCCAATGGTAAAAAATAAATTAATAAAAAATAAAAAAAAAAGAAAGAAAAGAAAAACAAACTGTGTCCAGTCCTTGGTGTCAAGGAGTTGACAGCATGAGTTTAAAAACATGTACTGAAACTTACGCCTTTGGTTCTGACTTCATCTTTTCTTGTGAAAAGAAATTATCAAAATTTAATCTAGTAGTCAGTCATTTTTATAAGATCTTCTTTTATATAAACAATTTCAATGTGGAGAAAGATAAAACTGGGACCAGCAGATGGCAAGATGGTTAAGGTGCTGAACTCCCACATGTCCAATGAACAATCCTTCAAAGAATGAGTTATAAAGACCCAGTGTAGGGACCAGCAGTTAGCGTAATAGCTATGTTGCTGAACTCCCATGTAGCTGACCGCAGTTTGAGTCCCAGACTCGGTGGCTTACACTCATGCCAGGCGCATGTGCATGCCCAAAGTCCTGAGAGAAGAATGGAGGAGAAGGGAACCAGCAGTTAGCATAATGGCTATGTCGCTGGACTCCCACGTAGTAGACCGCGGTTCACGTCTTGGACCCGGTGGCTTAAAACTCACGCCGGGCGCGTGTGCATGCATGCCCAAGATCTCGAGAGGAGAATGGAGGAGAAGGGATTGCGGTGTGACCAACCCTCCTGGGGGGTGATTTCTCGCTTTCTGTCTCTCTGTCTGTCTGGCGAGCACACGTGTCCTATAGCAAAAAAATACTCTCAAAAAAAAAAAAAAGAAAAAAGAAAAAAAAAAAAGAATGGAGAAGGGATTGAGGCATGGCCATCTTCCCTGGGGGGTGTGTCCCGCTTTCTATCTCTATGTCTCTCTCTGTCTTTCTGGTGAGCGCACATGACCTAGAACAAAAACCTCTCCAAATAAAAGACCCTGTGTATAAGACTGCATATTCTAGGTAGACCAGGAAAACCTATAAAAACAGGAAGTAGATTAACAGTTGCTGAGACTAGAGCTAATAGGACCGAAGTGCAGAGTAACTGCTAATGGCCACTGGGTGAGGATGGTGTTCTAAGATTTGATTACAGTGGTGGTAGCACAACTCTGCACAGACACTAAAAGCCAGAGCTGAACACTCCAAAACAGTTGAAGGGTATGGTATTTAAATTATACCTTAATAAAGCTGTTAAAAATGACCTATAGGAACCAGCACGTGGTGTGGTGGTTAAGGTACTGGATTTGCACATGGTCAACTGCAGTTCAAATCCTGGACCTGGCAGCTTGGAAATCACTCCGAGAGTATGTATGTACATGCCTCAAATCACAAGAGAATGGAGAAGAGACTGTGGTGTGGCCATCCTCTCTGGGAGATAATTTCACACTTTCCCTCTCTCTGTCTTCTGAAAGCATGCACATGCCCAATGGTAAAAAATAAATTAATAAAAAATAAAAAAAAAAGAAAGAAAAGAAAAACAAACTGTGTCCAGTCCTTGGTGTCAAGGAGTTGACAGCATGAGTTTAAAAACATGTACTGAAACTTACGCCTTTGGTTCTGACTTCATCTTTTCTTGTGAAAAGAAATTATCAAAATTTAATCTAGTAGTCAGTCATTTTTATAAGATCTTCTTTTATATAAACAATTTCAATGTGGAGAAAGATAAAACTGGGACCAGCAGATGGCAAGATGGTTAAGGTGCTGAACTCCCACATGTCCAACCACAGTTCAAGTCCTGGACCTGGTGCTTTCTCTCTCACTTTCTGTCCCTGTCTTTCTGTCTGTCCGTTCTTCTCTCTCTCTCTCTCTCTCTCTCTCTCTCTCTCTCTCTCTCTGGTGAGTGCACACGCCTTGTAGCAAATTTAAAAATAAAAATAATGATAAATAAAATTAAATAAATAATTCTAAAAACGAAAGAAAGAACTGGTTAACATCACTACCATTCTGAGATCAACAAAGTTAATATAAAACTAAAAGAATGATGTATTAATTACGAATAATATGCATGTTTACCTCTTTTTCCTTAAGTAGAGCTTCATGTTTTTCCTCAAGCCGCTTCATTTCAAATGCTAGCGTGTCTGCCCTTTTTGATTCAGATGAAAGTTTAATGTGAAGATCCTGAACCTTTCATCAGAAACAGAGTAAAAAAACAATAGTAAGTAATATTCAGTTATTTTTTCAGAGTTGAGTATGTTCGAGTGACTGCAAATAAAAGTTATATTAAGATCAAGTTTAACAGTAAATCTTTGACAAAAAAAGTATATAAAATTTAAAATTCTCAAAAATAATTTCACCAAAAAACTGAAAAATCAGCCTTCAATGCTAATATTTCTCTAAATTGTTTGAGGTATAACAAAACAGAATATTTCAGGTTACAGGTCCGTTCTCTAAGCATTTATACTGGTTATCATAAATGCTAAAGATAATATAAAAAGAAAATACAAGCTAAGAAGAAATGAAGATAGAAGACCCAGATAATGCAAACTTAATTATCGACCCTTGAATTAAAAGTACAGACAGAAGAAATTCATCAGAATAAGTTCACAGCTTTTTATATTCAATGCTTTAGCTCTGTACCATTCTTAAAGATTCAAAAGGAATGGCAGAGTTGACCTTCCAATCTCAGCAATTAAAAATTAAGATCTTTTCTTACCTGCCTTTTGTATGTTTCTAACTGCGTACGTGCTGCATTTGCCTTCTTTAATTCTTCTTCTAAGCTGACCGTGTTATGCATGTACATCATGTTAGTTTCCTGTAAAGTTTTCACCTGCTTGCGGAGGTCATTCAGATCTTGTAGCTTCTGACGATATACTTCAACTGTTGACTCCAGTTTATTTGCTTTATCAGAGGTAGCCCTATAAGATAAAGATTATGCATTACTGTGTAAAACCTAGTGTACGGACCTATAATTCTATCCTGGCTGTAAAATTAATGTCCCAAGCTATAACAATGACAAAAGAAAAAGAAAAGGGGGGAAAAAAGAAAAAAGAAAAAATTGAGTAAGAAAAGAAATTGTAAATTTTGTGAGAACTTTGGAAGTAGACGCAGTCTTAGAATCATCTACAGTTCAACGTTTTTGTTATAAAGGTATAAAAATTAAAATGTAACTCTTTAAATTATCACATTTAAATATTAGCCTGCTGTGTGAAAAAAGAATGGCTTTATACATACAACTAAAGAATTCTGAGCCACTCTGTAGCTTACAGGCCAACCTTGTTTTGTTTATACCATATACTACTGCGTTTTCTAAGTATTTGATATACTTAGGACGTTTAATCAATTTATAAATTGATCTGGCAAAGTATTTTCCTTTTGAGTTCCACATAATCAGATCAACCGCATTTATAGCAAAAATAAATAAACCAAATCACTGTAACCTGTAAGTACAAGTTAATGGCAATATGGATTTTGTAACAAATGGATATTGAAAAGACATCAGCAAAATATAGCTACTTAGAAAAGTTAACAAAAAATAAAAAGATCATGTGGATAATGTATCCATTAGTAACATTTCACAGATACCACAAGTTAAATACATATGTTCTATTTCTAAAGGCTGTCCTCCCTGAAATGTTAGATTCCTTATCTATATTTTATCAAATTCCAAAATATAGGTTGTAAGAATATATTTCCTTACAAAAAATTTTCACAAAAAAAATATAATGGGTATAAGGAGGTCAGCCTCAACATATCAAAAAACTTAGAAAATTTTCTTACAGCTCTCATTTTGGGCTTATGGCTTCTAATGTGAAACTCTAACAATAATTGAATATTATCCTTAAATTATAATTTCAATTGACAAGTATTGGGGAGGGGAAAGACTAGGAGCCTGGATAGAAACTGATCATGTGTCTTTTAAAATTTTATTTATTTCATGAGAGTTAGAGACAGAGAGAGAAACAGAAAAGCAGGTACCATACTAGGACCCTCCTCAAGCCCCCCTAAGCTTCCCAGCAGGTCAGGATCATGACCACATGCTGCAGCTGTGGGCAGGCTGGTCAGGAACAGGACCCACTATCTTCCACATGGACCTTCCACATGGATTGGGTACCACTTGGACGACAAGAGACGGCCGTGTCCCTGCACTGGCCCCAACATTCCACCAAAATCCACTGGCCCCAAAATCCACTTTCTACACAGGGATAATCTGAAGAATACCTGATGAAAATATCAGATGCCCAAATTGACTAGTAACTTGGAAGTGACGTATTATGTCTAAACATGCCATACCTCAGAACATCTATTTCATCTTTCAGGGCTCTTGTTTCTTCAGCAAGACTAGTCAATTCATCATTCCTATGCTGAAATTCAATCAGTTGCTTTTCAAGTTCTTCACAGTGAACTCGGTAATCATCTTTTGCAGCTTCAAGCCTTAAACAAAGAAAATACTTTTTTTTTCATTTGGCAGAATGTGTACGTACACTAGCCAGAGAAAGATGGTGTGGCAGAGAGAAGTCAGAAAGCGCCCCTATGGGAGAGTCACACCACAATCACTTGCTCCGTTCTTCCCTCCTTTTGGGACTGTGGCCATGCACACACACACGTGTCCTGTGTGATTTTCAAGATGCCAGTCCCTGACTCAAACTGCAGCATTAACCGTGGGGGCTCCAGCCGTCTTAACCACCATGCCACTGGCTGGCCCCCAAACAAAATTTTATAATATAATTTGCATAATTTGTTTTCCTATTGAGAAATGATCTTAACAGGATATATTTAAACTTTACATTCAACAGAGGAAAGCTGAAGAAATAAGATACTTTTTTGGCTTATGATTTTGGAAAAGGAATGGAAGTAAACTTAAGATTCTGAATTTTCATTTTCACTTCTGAGACACTGTGCTTAGTTATACACTCCTACAAATTTTAATCTCAAAAGATGAAAAGAAAATGCAAAAGAAAATGATTATTTTAAAATACACATAGCATATAAAGTGGTAAAATATTAATTCTGTAGACTGTGATAAGTTAAAGACAAATACTGCAAGCATTAGAACAGCAAAAAAAAAACTGAAATGACAATATCTGTAATTAAAATTAAATATTAAGAAAATTTTTATTAATCCAAAAGATAGCAGGAAAAAAAGGAACAAAAGAGCAAATATAACAAGAGAAAAATAGTGAATTGAGAGATCTAAATATAACCATAACAATAATTACATAAAAGGTAAATTAATTAAATACACTAATTAAAACACAGACTATCACTGAATACAAACTGAAAGTTCATACGTATGCTAATTACAACAGATCTTTTAAATATGTAAAGATATAAATAGGCAAACATAAAAAGATGAAAAAAAAAATGCCACACAAGCAGTAAGCAAAGAAAGGTCATTATATAAATAGCAAACAAAGTAAATTTTCAAAGTTTTATCAAAGGTTAAAAAGGATTATTCTATAATTATAGAGGGTTAATATATTAGAAAGAGATAATAAATTTATATACACCTAAAAATAGAGTTTAAAGTACATTAAGGAAAAAATAATAAAGCTAAAGATAGAAATCCATAAATCAACAATTGTTAATTTTTTTCCTTCTCTTTTTTAGGATTTTACCGTAGAGTGCATGAGCGTGCCAGATAGAGACCGAGAGAGGGAAAGTGAGAAATCATCTCGTGGGAGGATGGCCACACCACAATCCCTTCTCCTGCAGTCTCCTCTGAAGATTTTGGGCACATGCACACACATGCCTGGCAAGATTTTTAAGCTATAGGTCCAAACCTGAACCTTGGTCAGCCATATGGAAACCTAGCACCTTATCCACAATGCCACCTGCTGGCATTGAAAATTTTAACACTAGTCTTCCAATAAATAAAAAAACTCAATAAAAATATCAATAAAAATATAGTTTATTTTGGTGCAAAAATAAATTTTACATCTATATGCATAGTAGTTTCATAATGCACATTTTTCATGAACTCTGTAAGACCCCTTGTCCATGTAATAGTCAACACAGTAAAACACATGAGCATTTTTCCATGAACTTTTTGAAGTCACTTTATAATCAGCCAATGACTGCTGTGCAGAACTCCTTGCTACAACATTTTGTCTAATGTAAAGCTCTGACAAACAACTGTGTAATTTCCTCTCCCGCTTGAGACTTTAGTCTTTAAAATCACCCCAAAATCTGTAAACTTTCTTGCACACTATTTGGGACAACTCAAATATTTTGGCACCTGCGTAATCATCCTCAGATCTGGCCCAAGTAAACTCTTTGCTTTATTTCCTTTGTGTCTGCATTTCTCTTTGATGGAAGACTTTACCACATGTTGTTTGCAATTGTTTTGTTCTTATGGAAATATCCTACTTGCCTAACTGAATCATAAGCCCTGTGAGAGGAGGAATGACTTACACTACGTTGTATTTTCAGTGTCCTAAAATGTATTTAATGATGCTTAATAATTAGTTGGTAATATCACATTGTTTTTGCTACTAGTTTACTAGGAAGAATTCTATAAAATGATTTCTATTAAAAATGCTACCTGAAGTTTTCTTCTTGTAATTGTTCGAGTTGTAACTGTGCATGAAAATATTTTTTTGCAACCATTGTATTTGGATCATCAAAAGAACCATCCAACTGGTCAAGTTTTTCATTCATCATTTCATTCTCAGAAACCAGAGAATTCTTCTCATCTTGAAGTGCAGTTACCTAAAAACCGAAACCGAAAACACAAATGTAAGCATCAGCACCAAAGACACTTTTAAGAGTCTAAAGTTCTGGATTCTAATTCTGTCTAAGCCATTAAATAGCTTGATCAATCAAACTAGATAATTTCTAGGTCCTTCCAACTCTGGTTTTCTGAGTCCAGAGGTTTGTTTAAAACGAAAGAGATCAAATCATTCATTCTCCCCCCCTCCCGCCTCTATCTATCTATCTATCTATCTATCTATCTATCTATCTATCTATCTATCTATCTGGACAAAGAGTAAGAGTACTTGCAAAAGAATGCCTGCCAGGACCAGCAGGTGGTGTAATGGTTAAGACTAACTCCATATGGTTGACCACAGCTCGGGTTCCAGACCCAGCAACTTGACATTCATATCAGGTGTGTGTGCCTGTGTGCCAAAATCCTGAGAGAAGGATAGAGGAGAAGGGATTGCAGCATGCCACCCCCCGTGGGAGGTGATTTCTCACTTTCTATCTCTCTCTCTCTCTGGCAAGTGCCCACAGCCTATAGAAAAAACTGCTCTCAAAAAAAAAAAAATAAAAAAATAAAACATAATGCCTGTCTTAGTTTTGAGTAAATCATCTAAGCCTCTAAAATATGATGCATATGTCCCTTTTTAGGTATAAACTAGTTTTCAGAAGACTGTTACCCTATAGTAAGAAAAAAATACACATAAAGGCACAAAGTTGTTTTGGATTCATAGTAGAAAATTATGAGTAATACGGCCATGTTCAGGGACTGAATTAACACTCTTGTTTAGTGAATTCATAACAAAAGACTGAACTGTTTTCATTTGCACACTGCGACTGCTATGATTTAAAAATGCATAAAAGTATGCAAATTTAGAACCCTATCAATGTGAAAAGTTGATGCCTGGTTTGTTTTTTGTTGTTGTTGTTGTTGCTGTTGTTTTGCTTTTGAACTCACAACAAGAACAATTTACTCTAGTTAGTCTATTTCTTATCCACTTAAAAAATTCTTTACAATTTTCAGGTAATATTGTGTACTCTTCTAAGACTAGGAAGTTTACATAAGATTTTACTAAGAATTAGTTTGGAGAAAAAATAAAAAAGGTGACCTAGTATAACTCCTGCTATGTTACGGGAAAACTTATTCATAATTTCAATGGGTATAATTAATTCAGCCTAGTTTTGTGAATGAAACTACACACTGACACAGAGCTAGTTACTGGAGATGGAACTCAAGGAACTCAAGTGATGGCTTTGGATACAGAATAGGCAGGTAGACAGTTTATTAATTCTTTCTACCAAATAAATACAAAGGCTACTATACTGACCCTGGGCAGACTATGTGAAGAAACAACTTTCCATTCCTAAGCCCATGCACGCATGCACCCCTGCCACGTAAGCAGCTTAGTGACTATTTCCTGCCATGTATGACAACTGTAAGTGATTCAGATACAAAAAGGAACATATAGGTTTCTAGCCTTAAGATTCGTACAATAGAACTAAAAACAGAAGCAAGAACTTAAATGGAAGATGTTGAAGAAGATTGAATTGGAGGATGTCAGAGGGTCGGAATATGGTACAAACACAAGAGTAACTCCTTCTAGCTTGAGCGTAGGGACTGTCATAAAGGGATTGAGAAGCAATGCCCTCAGTCTTCAACGCTGGGCAGAAATCCGCTCAAGAAGGAAGAGTAACAAGGACAAATTTAGCTTCAACACCTGGTGAGTAACCAACCTCATGCCTATCCATGTTTCAGCATGGTTCCAAAGCCACCTTCATCATAAACATGAGAGGAAATGGTAAACATGAAAATTCCTGGGACCACCCCAGATCCATGACTTGGAATGTTAGATGCCACAGTGATTGTTTTAGGTTCACTATGCATATGCTTCTGTCTCTTTTTTTAATAGATCTCTCTCCTCTCTGTGTCTCTCTCTCTCTCTCTTTCTCTCTCTCTCTGCTATGTAAAAGCAGCAGAAAAAATTGAAACTGTCCCTCAAAAAAGGCTCAAAAAATAAATGCGCATTTTCTCACACTACCTAGATTTAACCACAGACTATGCTGCATGGACAGTGGTTGTCCATAGGGCACATAGGCTATAAGATACAGCCCAGGTGTGCAGGAGGCTACACCACTATGTTTGTGGAAGGACATTCTGTGGTGTTCACACAACGACAAAACTGCCTAATGACGCATTTCTCAGAATGTATTCCTGTCCCCAGTATTGTAGGAAGGCATTAACATTTTATCATATTTGTTTACTTAAAATATAGAGGATGCAGGGTCCAGTAGATGGCATAGTGCTTAAAATGTTGGACTCCCAAATGGCTGATCACAGTTTGAGTTCTGGACCTAGAAGTTTGAAAATCACTGGGACCAGCAGATAGAGTAACGGTTACATTGCTGGACTCATGCACAGTCAACTGCGAATTGAGTCCCAGATCCAGTGGCTTAAATCTCACGATGGATACATGTACATGCATGCCCAAAATTCCAAGAGGAGAATGGAGAAGAAACTGAGGCCTGGCCACCCACCCTGGGGGTGATTTCTTTCTTGCTTTCTGTCTGCCTCTGGTGATTGTACATGCCCTATGGCAAAAATCTCTCTAAAAAGAAAGAAAGAAAAAGAAAAAGAAAAATCACCCTGGGCAAATGTGCTTGAGTTCCCAAATTTCTGAGAGGAGAATGAAGGAGAAGGGACTAAGGTGGGGTCATCCCCCTAGGGGATCATTTCTCATTTTCCCTCTCACTGTCTGTCTGCCCCTCTCTCTCTCTCTCTCTCTCTGGTGAGAACATGCACCCTATGGCAAATAAATAAATAATATATACATATGTAGGGGGCCGGCAGGTGGCATGGTGGTTAAGGATGCTGGACTCCCTGGCATGGTGGTTAAGGATGCTGGACTGTTTGGCATGTTGGTTAAGGATGCTGGACTTCCATGTGGCCAACTGCGGTACAAGTCCCAGACCTGGCAGCTTGCTTTCTCACTTTCCCTCTCTCTCTCTCATTCTGTCCCTTTCAAAAGAAAGAAAGAAAGAAGAAGGAAAGAAAGAAAGAGTGCAAGAGGGAGGGAAATAAAATTATTCTTTAAAAAAAATAAAATAATATATACTTATATAAACTTGCAGAGTTGGAATCCCCTTTACCCACTGTAATCAGTCCCATACAATTCTCCAGCACATTCAAGTTTGAAAGTCACTGCCTTAGAATAAAATCTTTCACGTGGTGGCCAGGAATCTGCTTCTTCTCTACCATCCCATGAGCACTAATCATGGGCCACAGCTACGCAGAAGTGAAGTTCTGTCTATTGCTGCCTGAGAACATGTTACAAATAATGGTTAGCTGAGGAAGGCAGAAATTAAGGGCCGCTAGGAAACGCATCACGCTTTACCCAAAGCCTCATAATAATCCAGACCAGAACAGGACTGAAATACTGCATCAGGAGTCTCAAAACTTTCTATCAAAATCTCATGTGGAGGTTTGTGCATTTCTCTGTTTTGGTTTGCTTTGCATTGATGTCTCTTCTGCTTCTCTCTTCCAGCATCAGCCTGTGAATTTAACTTCATTCGCTTAAGTCCTTTTTCTTTTTTTACCTTAGTGCATGACATTTACATTCACATTTTCTTTTTTTAAAATTATTTTATTTAACTTTATTGATTTATTTTTGACCAAAAAGGGACAGAGAGTGAGAAAGGGAAAGTAAGAAAGCAAGCCACCAGGTCTGGGACTCGAACCATGGTCGGCCATGTGGGAACCCAGCATTCTTAACCACCACATCACCTACCGGCCCCCATATTTTCATTATACCAACAATAATTAAAATATATACAAACATACCCATGGCGTTATGTGCCAGGCCCTGATCTGAGTGCTTTATTTTGAGGGGTCTTCAAATGCTCACACAGAAACTACCTATTATGAAAAACAATGCACGAATTTCAAATTTTTTTGTACCCAAATAACCCACACTTGAATTCTATTTTATCATGAACACTTTGAAGACTCTCTTGTATATTAACTTAGCGAATCTCACAACTACTCTGGGAGACGCATCCTATCACTGCTCTATTTCTCAAAACAGAAGACTGAAGTATAGATGCTTCCTGACTTACAATGGAGTTCCAGTTCCTACTGAGTGCGCACCGACTTTGCACCACTATAAAGTTGAACCATCATCAGTCAGGGACTGTCTGTACAGAGAAATTAAGTAATTTGCCTCCAAGCATACAGACAGCCAGTAACATGATCAGATTCTGAACACAAGAAGTCAGGTTTGATCGTATACTCTTAATTACCTAGTATTCTCTAATGTCATGTTTATTTTGCTAACACGTGTACACATATAAATGCTCACACACGTATATGACTATATATGTTAGCAAAACAAACTTGATGTGAGAGACTGTATGTGTATGTGTAGAATAAACACACAGATACAAGGGGTTCTGTAAAGTTAAAGAAAATGCATACTATGAAAAACTCCAGGGACTTCAGAATTTTTGCACCAAAATAAACTCCTATTAACTGCATTTTCTCACCAATGTTTTGAAGTCCCCTGGAGTTTGTGTGTGGTGAGTAGGTATGTGATTGAGAGAGAAACAGCCTGCACTTGCATTTACTAAGGGTCAGGCGCGTCTGAACATTTCCATAAATTATCTCCCTTAATGTTCACAAATACCCTACAAGGCAGGTATTTTTTATCTTTTCATTTATAAAAGAGAAAACAGAGTCCCCACCGAAATGGTTGAAATTCTACATTTAGAACGATTTTTTCCAAAGAATAGGTGGACTATCAATTTTCAAGTCTCAGAGAAAAATAGTTAGACACCAATGCTTAAATACTCAAGCCTCCATGAAATGTTTCCTCCATGAAATACAACTCACTTCCAAACCACTCTGCTAATTAATAAATTAAAGAAAAACCTTTATGAACCTAAAGAGAAAGTTTTCTCAGGTCAGGTTTCTTTAGCGCACCTGCATATCAAGTTCTTGGCATCTCTGCCTCAGCTCTTCTTTTTCTGCTAATGCTTCTTGAAGTTCTTCCAAGGCTCTTTTAAGCTGTAAGAAAATGCCCAGATTCTTAGTACATCATGTTATGACAAGGAGAAAAATATACTCTTCTCATAATATACATATACACTGATAATAAAAATGTTTTTTGTTTTTAGGTTTTTGTCATAGGGCACGTGTGCTGGCTGGAGAAAGGCAGAGGACAGAGAAAGGGAAAGTGAGAAATCACCCCATGGGGGATGACCATGTTGAAATCCCTTCTCAGCCAATCTTTTCTTAGGATTTTGGGCACACACATAGGTGCCAACGTGATTTTCAAGTCGCCAGGTCCACATATCGAACCACAGTCACCCATGTGGGAGTCCAATGCCTTAACTACCACACACCACCTACTGGTTCCTAGAAGTGTTTTGTTGTTGTTGTTGTTTTTTGGAGAGGTTTTTGCTATAGGGCGCGTGCACTCGCCAGGTAGACAGAGAGAGACAGAAAGCGAGAAATCACCCCCCAGGGGGGATAGCCATGCAGCAATCCCTTCTCTTCCATTCTCTCGGGATCTTGGGCATGCACGCACATCGCCTGGCATGAGTTTTAAGCCTCCAGGTCCAGGACACGGACCGTAATCAACTACGGGAGTCCAGCGACATAGCCATTACGCTAACTGTTGGTCCCAAGAAATGTTCCTTAGAACTGATGTTGACTTTCCTTTCTCTTTTTTTTTTGGAGAGGTTTTTGCTATAGGGCACGTGCACTCACCAGAAAGAGAGAGACAGAGGGACAGAAAGAGAGAAATCACCCCTCAGGGGGATGGCCACGCCACAATCCCTTCTCCTCCATTCTCCTCTCAGGATCTTGAGCATGCATGCACAGTGCCCAGCGTGAGTTTAAGCCACCGGGTCTGGGACTCGAACCATGGTTGACTACACGTAGGTATAAACTAGTTTTCAGAAGACTGTTACCCTATAGTAAGAAAAAAATACACATAAAGGCACAAAGTTGTTTTGGATTCATAGTAGAAAATTATGAGTAATACGGCCATGTTCAGGGACTGAATTAACACTCTTGTTTAGTGAATTCATAACAAAAGACTGAACTGTTTTCATTTGCACACTGCGACTGCTATGATTTAAAAATGCATAAAAGTATGCAAATTTAGAACCCTATCAATGTGAAAAGTTGATGCCTGGTTTGTTTTTTGTTGTTGTTGTTGTTGCTGTTGTTTTGCTTTTGAACTCACAACAAGAACAATTTACTCTAGTTAGTCTATTTCTTATCCACTTAAAAAATTCTTTACAATTTTCAGGTAATATTGTGTACTCTTCTAAGACTAGGAAGTTTACATAAGATTTTACTAAGAATTAGTTTGGAGAAAAAATAAAAAAGGTGACCTAGTATAACTCCTGCTATGTTACGGGAAAACTTATTCATAATTTCAATGGGTATAATTAATTCAGCCTAGTTTTGTGAATGAAACTACACACTGACACAGAGCTAGTTACTGGAGATGGAACTCAAGGAACTCAAGTGATGGCTTTGGATACAGAATAGGCAGGTAGACAGTTTATTAATTCTTTCTACCAAATAAATACAAAGGCTACTATACTGACCCTGGGCAGACTATGTGAAGAAACAACTTTCCATTCCTAAGCCCATGCACGCATGCACCCCTGCCACGTAAGCAGCTTAGTGACTATTTCCTGCCATGTATGACAACTGTAAGTGATTCAGATACAAAAAGGAACATATAGGTTTCTAGCCTTAAGATTCGTACAATAGAACTAAAAACAGAAGCAAGAACTTAAATGGAAGATGTTGAAGAAGATTGAATTGGAGGATGTCAGAGGGTCGGAATATGGTACAAACACAAGAGTAACTCCTTCTAGCTTGAGCGTAGGGACTGTCATAAAGGGATTGAGAAGCAATGCCCTCAGTCTTCAACGCTGGGCAGAAATCCGCTCAAGAAGGAAGAGTAACAAGGACAAATTTAGCTTCAACACCTGGTGAGTAACCAACCTCATGCCTATCCATGTTTCAGCATGGTTCCAAAGCCACCTTCATCATAAACATGAGAGGAAATGGTAAACATGAAAATTCCTGGGACCACCCCAGATCCATGACTTGGAATGTTAGATGCCACAGTGATTGTTTTAGGTTCACTATGCATATGCTTCTGTCTCTTTTTTTAATAGATCTCTCTCCTCTCTGTGTCTCTCTCTCTCTCTCTTTCTCTCTCTCTCTGCTATGTAAAAGCAGCAGAAAAAATTGAAACTGTCCCTCAAAAAAGGCTCAAAAAATAAATGCGCATTTTCTCACACTACCTAGATTTAACCACAGACTATGCTGCATGGACAGTGGTTGTCCATAGGGCACATAGGCTATAAGATACAGCCCAGGTGTGCAGGAGGCTACACCACTATGTTTGTGGAAGGACATTCTGTGGTGTTCACACAACGACAAAACTGCCTAATGACGCATTTCTCAGAATGTATTCCTGTCCCCAGTATTGTAGGAAGGCATTAACATTTTATCATATTTGTTTACTTAAAATATAGAGGATGCAGGGTCCAGTAGATGGCATAGTGCTTAAAATGTTGGACTCCCAAATGGCTGATCACAGTTTGAGTTCTGGACCTAGAAGTTTGAAAATCACTGGGACCAGCAGATAGAGTAACGGTTACATTGCTGGACTCATGCACAGTCAACTGCGAATTGAGTCCCAGATCCAGTGGCTTAAATCTCACGATGGATACATGTACATGCATGCCCAAAATTCCAAGAGGAGAATGGAGAAGAAACTGAGGCCTGGCCACCCACCCTGGGGGTGATTTCTTTCTTGCTTTCTGTCTGCCTCTGGTGATTGTACATGCCCTATGGCAAAAATCTCTCTAAAAAGAAAGAAAGAAAAAGAAAAAGAAAAATCACCCTGGGCAAATGTGCTTGAGTTCCCAAATTTCTGAGAGGAGAATGAAGGAGAAGGGACTAAGGTGGGGTCATCCCCCTAGGGGATCATTTCTCATTTTCCCTCTCACTGTCTGTCTGCCCCTCTCTCTCTCTCTCTCTCTCTGGTGAGAACATGCACCCTATGGCAAATAAATAAATAATATATACATATGTAGGGGGCCGGCAGGTGGCATGGTGGTTAAGGATGCTGGACTCCCTGGCATGGTGGTTAAGGATGCTGGACTGTTTGGCATGTTGGTTAAGGATGCTGGACTTCCATGTGGCCAACTGCGGTACAAGTCCCAGACCTGGCAGCTTGCTTTCTCACTTTCCCTCTCTCTCTCTCATTCTGTCCCTTTCAAAAGAAAGAAAGAAAGAAGAAGGAAAGAAAGAAAGAGTGCAAGAGGGAGGGAAATAAAATTATTCTTTAAAAAAAATAAAATAATATATACTTATATAAACTTGCAGAGTTGGAATCCCCTTTACCCACTGTAATCAGTCCCATACAATTCTCCAGCACATTCAAGTTTGAAAGTCACTGCCTTAGAATAAAATCTTTCACGTGGTGGCCAGGAATCTGCTTCTTCTCTACCATCCCATGAGCACTAATCATGGGCCACAGCTACGCAGAAGTGAAGTTCTGTCTATTGCTGCCTGAGAACATGTTACAAATAATGGTTAGCTGAGGAAGGCAGAAATTAAGGGCCGCTAGGAAACGCATCACGCTTTACCCAAAGCCTCATAATAATCCAGACCAGAACAGGACTGAAATACTGCATCAGGAGTCTCAAAACTTTCTATCAAAATCTCATGTGGAGGTTTGTGCATTTCTCTGTTTTGGTTTGCTTTGCATTGATGTCTCTTCTGCTTCTCTCTTCCAGCATCAGCCTGTGAATTTAACTTCATTCGCTTAAGTCCTTTTTCTTTTTTTACCTTAGTGCATGACATTTACATTCACATTTTCTTTTTTTAAAATTATTTTATTTAACTTTATTGATTTATTTTTGACCAAAAAGGGACAGAGAGTGAGAAAGGGAAAGTAAGAAAGCAAGCCACCAGGTCTGGGACTCGAACCATGGTCGGCCATGTGGGAACCCAGCATTCTTAACCACCACATCACCTACCGGCCCCCATATTTTCATTATACCAACAATAATTAAAATATATACAAACATACCCATGGCGTTATGTGCCAGGCCCTGATCTGAGTGCTTTATTTTGAGGGGTCTTCAAATGCTCACACAGAAACTACCTATTATGAAAAACAATGCACGAATTTCAAATTTTTTTGTACCCAAATAACCCACACTTGAATTCTATTTTATCATGAACACTTTGAAGACTCTCTTGTATATTAACTTAGCGAATCTCACAACTACTCTGGGAGACGCATCCTATCACTGCTCTATTTCTCAAAACAGAAGACTGAAGTATAGATGCTTCCTGACTTACAATGGAGTTCCAGTTCCTACTGAGTGCGCACCGACTTTGCACCACTATAAAGTTGAACCATCATCAGTCAGGGACTGTCTGTACAGAGAAATTAAGTAATTTGCCTCCAAGCATACAGACAGCCAGTAACATGATCAGATTCTGAACACAAGAAGTCAGGTTTGATCGTATACTCTTAATTACCTAGTATTCTCTAATGTCATGTTTATTTTGCTAACACGTGTACACATATAAATGCTCACACACGTATATGACTATATATGTTAGCAAAACAAACTTGATGTGAGAGACTGTATGTGTATGTGTAGAATAAACACACAGATACAAGGGGTTCTGTAAAGTTAAAGAAAATGCATACTATGAAAAACTCCAGGGACTTCAGAATTTTTGCACCAAAATAAACTCCTATTAACTGCATTTTCTCACCAATGTTTTGAAGTCCCCTGGAGTTTGTGTGTGGTGAGTAGGTATGTGATTGAGAGAGAAACAGCCTGCACTTGCATTTACTAAGGGTCAGGCGCGTCTGAACATTTCCATAAATTATCTCCCTTAATGTTCACAAATACCCTACAAGGCAGGTATTTTTTATCTTTTCATTTATAAAAGAGAAAACAGAGTCCCCACCGAAATGGTTGAAATTCTACATTTAGAACGATTTTTTCCAAAGAATAGGTGGACTATCAATTTTCAAGTCTCAGAGAAAAATAGTTAGACACCAATGCTTAAATACTCAAGCCTCCATGAAATGTTTCCTCCATGAAATACAACTCACTTCCAAACCACTCTGCTAATTAATAAATTAAAGAAAAACCTTTATGAACCTAAAGAGAAAGTTTTCTCAGGTCAGGTTTCTTTAGCGCACCTGCATATCAAGTTCTTGGCATCTCTGCCTCAGCTCTTCTTTTTCTGCTAATGCTTCTTGAAGTTCTTCCAAGGCTCTTTTAAGCTGTAAGAAAATGCCCAGATTCTTAGTACATCATGTTATGACAAGGAGAAAAATATACTCTTCTCATAATATACATATACACTGATAATAAAAATGTTTTTTGTTTTTAGGTTTTTGTCATAGGGCACGTGTGCTGGCTGGAGAAAGGCAGAGGACAGAGAAAGGGAAAGTGAGAAATCACCCCATGGGGGATGACCATGTTGAAATCCCTTCTCAGCCAATCTTTTCTTAGGATTTTGGGCACACACATAGGTGCCAACGTGATTTTCAAGTCGCCAGGTCCACATATCGAACCACAGTCACCCATGTGGGAGTCCAATGCCTTAACTACCACACACCACCTACTGGTTCCTAGAAGTGTTTTGTTGTTGTTGTTGTTTTTTGGAGAGGTTTTTGCTATAGGGCGCGTGCACTCGCCAGGTAGACAGAGAGAGACAGAAAGCGAGAAATCACCCCCCAGGGGGGATAGCCATGCAGCAATCCCTTCTCTTCCATTCTCTCGGGATCTTGGGCATGCACGCACATCGCCTGGCATGAGTTTTAAGCCTCCAGGTCCAGGACACGGACCGTAATCAACTACGGGAGTCCAGCGACATAGCCATTACGCTAACTGTTGGTCCCAAGAAATGTTCCTTAGAACTGATGTTGACTTTCCTTTCTCTTTTTTTTTTGGAGAGGTTTTTGCTATAGGGCACGTGCACTCACCAGAAAGAGAGAGACAGAGGGACAGAAAGAGAGAAATCACCCCTCAGGGGGATGGCCACGCCACAATCCCTTCTCCTCCATTCTCCTCTCAGGATCTTGAGCATGCATGCACAGTGCCCAGCGTGAGTTTAAGCCACCGGGTCTGGGACTCGAACCATGGTTGACTACACGGGAGTCCAGTGACATAGTCATTACGCTAACTGCTGGTCCCTCCTAGAAGTAGTTTTAAAAATTCACCTTTTGGGACCTATGCCTCCTCTTTTACCCTTTTCCTCCAACCCAGGTTGGGTTTCACACGGCAAGAGCTCTTTTTCCCCATAGAAAACAGTTCTGAAATAGAACCAGGTCCTTAAATAAGAGGACAGAGAAAGTGCCACAAATGACATTATCTTGCTAGATAAATGAAAACTTGGCAGATTTTTGTAACTGCCTATTTAATTGTGCAATCTGATAGCATGGGCCAGATATCTATTACTGAGTGTCAGAAATCCATTCAATCCCACTGAATTCTTCCAAGATGATAGCAAAAAAAACCTCAAAGACCAAAATATTAGTTGCGTTCATGAAGAAAAAGCATAAAAATGTTCACCCGGGATTTTACAAATAAACTAAATTTCATATGAAAATATTTTCATATATGCTGTCTCGCGTGGCCTTCCAACGGTAACTGGCAAAGGACCTGCGTCGCTGTCTCCGCCGTTCTCGTCACACTGTCGTACTCACCTGCTGCTCCAGTTCTCCCACAGCGTCATTTGTAGAAGAGCTTGAGATTTCTTTATTCATCAACTAGGAAATAAAATAGTAAAGTTAGGCGGTGTAATGTGATGTTTAGGAAGTAAAAATATATCTACTTGAAAGGAGAGAAAAATTATTTGTATTCAGTTTCTCCTTGCTTTAGTTTAATGATCCTTAGAACACCATTCAAATACAAATTTAATTAGTAGTTTAATATAAACAACACAAAAGTTTAAGTATAGTAGTGGGGACATCACAGGTTAAGTGTGTTTGAAATACAGAGCTATACACAAAATACTTATAAGCAAAAAAAAAAGTGATGATCCAAGATGTATTATTAAATAAAACTAAACACATAAAATGCTTTGTTAAAAAGCGGTTCTTATGGAGTGTAAGTTAACATTTTAAAAAATGTAGTTTCATGAGTGATATGGCAAAATTTGAGGTCATTTCAAAATAGGAGTAATGTGAAAAAGAGTATCCTCTTAAGCAACCTTTATTGCACATGGAAAACAGTTTTATTTATGTATGATGACGCTTTGAATATAAACCAAAAATGCAAACTCAGGAGTATGGGCTACAAAGTCCAGTCCGAGTCTCCCCCTCAATCACGCCCCTCCAATCTGTGCTGCTCCTCTTCAATCCCTCACTCCGCTCCCACAGGTCTCTCTTACACCCCACTTCACCTTAGCCTTGCAGCCAGATACTAAGATTCAACACTGCACAACCTGAATTCTGAATTCTGACTTGATTTAGAACATTAGACTACCTTAACTCCAAGTTACTTGACTCCAGAACATAAGTACTACAATATCTGCTCCCAGATCTAACATTCTGAAAATGAATATGATATATGTAAATTAAATCCTAGGAAAGGCTACTCTAATGAACACACACATACAAAGAGAGGAAATAGAAATTCCTGGTCGGAAGTTGTTTATCTGGCTTTTCCTGTTTAAGGTTATTTAAGAGAATTTGACAATTGTAATTCACCTTTTTAATGTAGAAGTACTAAAGCAGGGCTTGAAGGCCTTTTAAACTTTGGGGGAGGTGGAGGAGCAAGCAGATGGTGTTATGGTTATGTCACCAGCTCTCACGTGGCTGACAGCAGTTTGAGTCTCAGACCTGGTGGTTTGAAAATCACGCTGGGCATGTGTATGTATGTGCCCAAGATCCTGGGAGGAAAACGGAGAAGGGATCGCGGCGTGGCCATCCCTCTTGGGAAGAGATTTTGCACTTTCCCTCTCACTGTCTCTGTCTTTTTCACCAGCAAGTGCACATATTCTATGGCAAAAAACCCCTTTTTTAAAAAAAGAAAGAAAGAAAGAAAGAATCCCATTATTCTTTAGGCAGTCGGGGAAATGCTGGCAGTGAGGATTTTTCCCTTCCTCCTAGGAAAAGGACAAGAGAGGGCTGGGGCTGAAGGAGAAGCTGGAGCATTAGGATTAGATCCTAGAAGGAACTTCCCGCCGTCTGTGGACGCTTCCTGAAATGTTAGGTCGGAGCCCTTGAGACACCACCATGGGGGCCACCAGCCCAGCTACCCGTGAGTGCCCACAGGTGCCAGGTCTTTTCAACATGTCGCTTGATTACTGGGACACAGGGTGTTACTGCTTCTACTTCGCAGATGAGAAAACCAAGGGTCGGAGAGAAAAAAACGGTGGACTCCTGCCCCACGGTCGAGAACTCCAAGGCCAGGCGAGCTCTTTCTCTTCTGAGCTGCTTCTCCCCGGCCCTAGAACAATGGCGCGCAGAGAATGGAGTGGGCTGCTTGTGTAACTGAGCGGGGATCATAGGAGGCCAATACTAATGATCTCGCAGAGACGTCGAAGGAGAATTAGAAAGAAAGAGAAAATAAAAAGGATGGGGGAGAAAAAAAAAATCAATGAAGTACCTTTAGCTTCTTGGAGATAAGCGATATATAAATACTAGCCATTATTAAGGCTCTTATCGGACAGCGAGGGTCTCAAAACTTTCTATCAAAATCTCATGTGGAGGTTTGTGCATTTCTCTGTTTTGGTTTGCTTTGCATTGATGTCTCTTCTGCTTCTCTCTTCCAGCATCAGCCTGTGAATTTAACTTCATTCGCTTAAGTCCTTTTTCTTTTTTTACCTTAGTGCATGACATTTACATTCACATTTTCTTTTTTTAAAATTATTTTATTTAACTTTATTGATTTATTTTTGACCAAAAAGGGACAGAGAGTGAGAAAGGGAAAGTAAGAAAGCAAGCCACCAGGTCTGGGACTCGAACCATGGTCGGCCATGTGGGAACCCAGCATTCTTAACCACCACATCACCTACCGGCCCCCATATTTTCATTATACCAACAATAATTAAAATATATACAAACATACCCATGGCGTTATGTGCCAGGCCCTGATCTGAGTGCTTTATTTTGAGGGGTCTTCAAATGCTCACACAGAAACTACCTATTATGAAAAACAATGCACGAATTTCAAATTTTTTTGTACCCAAATAACCCACACTTGAATTCTATTTTATCATGAACACTTTGAAGACTCTCTTGTATATTAACTTAGCGAATCTCACAACTACTCTGGGAGACGCATCCTATCACTGCTCTATTTCTCAAAACAGAAGACTGAAGTATAGATGCTTCCTGACTTACAATGGAGTTCCAGTTCCTACTGAGTGCGCACCGACTTTGCACCACTATAAAGTTGAACCATCATCAGTCAGGGACTGTCTGTACAGAGAAATTAAGTAATTTGCCTCCAAGCATACAGACAGCCAGTAACATGATCAGATTCTGAACACAAGAAGTCAGGTTTGATCGTATACTCTTAATTACCTAGTATTCTCTAATGTCATGTTTATTTTGCTAACACGTGTACACATATAAATGCTCACACACGTATATGACTATATATGTTAGCAAAACAAACTTGATGTGAGAGACTGTATGTGTATGTGTAGAATAAACACACAGATACAAGGGGTTCTGTAAAGTTAAAGAAAATGCATACTATGAAAAACTCCAGGGACTTCAGAATTTTTGCACCAAAATAAACTCCTATTAACTGCATTTTCTCACCAATGTTTTGAAGTCCCCTGGAGTTTGTGTGTGGTGAGTAGGTATGTGATTGAGAGAGAAACAGCCTGCACTTGCATTTACTAAGGGTCAGGCGCGTCTGAACATTTCCATAAATTATCTCCCTTAATGTTCACAAATACCCTACAAGGCAGGTATTTTTTATCTTTTCATTTATAAAAGAGAAAACAGAGTCCCCACCGAAATGGTTGAAATTCTACATTTAGAACGATTTTTTCCAAAGAATAGGTGGACTATCAATTTTCAAGTCTCAGAGAAAAATAGTTAGACACCAATGCTTAAATACTCAAGCCTCCATGAAATGTTTCCTCCATGAAATACAACTCACTTCCAAACCACTCTGCTAATTAATAAATTAAAGAAAAACCTTTATGAACCTAAAGAGAAAGTTTTCTCAGGTCAGGTTTCTTTAGCGCACCTGCATATCAAGTTCTTGGCATCTCTGCCTCAGCTCTTCTTTTTCTGCTAATGCTTCTTGAAGTTCTTCCAAGGCTCTTTTAAGCTGTAAGAAAATGCCCAGATTCTTAGTACATCATGTTATGACAAGGAGAAAAATATACTCTTCTCATAATATACATATACACTGATAATAAAAATGTTTTTTGTTTTTAGGTTTTTGTCATAGGGCACGTGTGCTGGCTGGAGAAAGGCAGAGGACAGAGAAAGGGAAAGTGAGAAATCACCCCATGGGGGATGACCATGTTGAAATCCCTTCTCAGCCAATCTTTTCTTAGGATTTTGGGCACACACATAGGTGCCAACGTGATTTTCAAGTCGCCAGGTCCACATATCGAACCACAGTCACCCATGTGGGAGTCCAATGCCTTAACTACCACACACCACCTACTGGTTCCTAGAAGTGTTTTGTTGTTGTTGTTGTTTTTTGGAGAGGTTTTTGCTATAGGGCGCGTGCACTCGCCAGGCAGACAGAGAGAGACAGAAAGCGAGAAATCACCCCCCAGGGGGGATAGCCATGCAGCAATCCCTTCTCTTCCATTCTCTCGGGATCTTGGGCATGCACGCACATCGCCTGGCATGAGTTTTAAGCCTCCAGGTCCAGGACACGGACCGTAATCAACTACGGGAGTCCAGCGACATAGCCATTACGCTAACTGTTGGTCCCAAGAAATGTTCCTTAGAACTGATGTTGACTTTCCTTTCTCTTTTTTTTTTGGAGAGGTTTTTGCTATAGGGCACGTGCACTCACCAGAAAGAGAGAGACAGAGGGACAGAAAGAGAGAAATCACCCCTCAGGGGGATGGCCACGCCACAATCCCTTCTCCTCCATTCTCCTCTCAGGATCTTGAGCATGCATGCACAGTGCCCAGCGTGAGTTTAAGCCACCGGGTCTGGGACTCGAACCATGGTTGACTACACGGGAGTCCAGTGACATAGTCATTACGCTAACTGCTGGTCCCTCCTAGAAGTAGTTTTAAAAATTCACCTTTTGGGACCTATGCCTCCTCTTTTACCCTTTTCCTCCAACCCAGGTTGGGTTTCACACGGCAAGAGCTCTTTTTCCCCATAGAAAACAGTTCTGAAATAGAACCAGGTCCTTAAATAAGAGGACAGAGAAAGTGCCACAAATGACATTATCTTGCTAGATAAATGAAAACTTGGCAGATTTTTGTAACTGCCTATTTAATTGTGCAATCTGATAGCATGGGCCAGATATCTATTACTGAGTGTCAGAAATCCATTCAATCCCACTGAATTCTTCCAAGATGATAGCAAAAAAAACCTCAAAGACCAAAATATTAGTTGCGTTCATGAAGAAAAAGCATAAAAATGTTCACCCGGGATTTTACAAATAAACTAAATTTCATATGAAAATATTTTCATATATGCTGTCTCGCGTGGCCTTCCAACGGTAACTGGCAAAGGACCTGCGTCGCTGTCTCCGCCGTTCTCGTCACACTGTCGTACTCACCTGCTGCTCCAGTTCTCCCACAGCGTCATTTGTAGAAGAGCTTGAGATTTCTTTATTCATCAACTAGGAAATAAAATAGTAAAGTTAGGCGGTGTAATGTGATGTTTAGGAAGTAAAAATATATCTACTTGAAAGGAGAGAAAAATTATTTGTATTCAGTTTCTCCTTGCTTTAGTTTAATGATCCTTAGAACACCATTCAAATACAAATTTAATTAGTAGTTTAATATAAACAACACAAAAGTTTAAGTATAGTAGTGGGGACATCACAGGTTAAGTGTGTTTGAAATACAGAGCTATACACAAAATACTTATAAGCAAAAAAAAAAGTGATGATCCAAGATGTATTATTAAATAAAACTAAACACATAAAATGCTTTGTTAAAAAGCGGTTCTTATGGAGTGTAAGTTAACATTTTAAAAAATGTAGTTTCATGAGTGATATGGCAAAATTTGAGGTCATTTCAAAATAGGAGTAATGTGAAAAAGAGTATCCTCTTAAGCAACCTTTATTGCACATGGAAAACAGTTTTATTTATGTATGATGACGCTTTGAATATAAACCAAAAATGCAAACTCAGGAGTATGGGCTACAAAGTCCAGTCCGAGTCTCCCCCTCAATCACGCCCCTCCAATCTGTGCTGCTCCTCTTCAATCCCTCACTCCGCTCCCACAGGTCTCTCTTACACCCCACTTCACCTTAGCCTTGCAGCCAGATACTAAGATTCAACACTGCACAACCTGAATTCTGAATTCTGACTTGATTTAGAACATTAGACTACCTTAACTCCAAGTTACTTGACTCCAGAACATAAGTACTACAATATCTGCTCCCAGATCTAACATTCTGAAAATGAATATGATATATGTAAATTAAATCCTAGGAAAGGCTACTCTAATGAACACACACATACAAAGAGAGGAAATAGAAATTCCTGGTCGGAAGTTGTTTATCTGGCTTTTCCTGTTTAAGGTTATTTAAGAGAATTTGACAATTGTAATTCACCTTTTTAATGTAGAAGTACTAAAGCAGGGCTTGAAGGCCTTTTAAACTTTGGGGGAGGTGGAGGAGCAAGCAGATGGTGTTATGGTTATGTCACCAGCTCTCACGTGGCTGACAGCAGTTTGAGTCTCAGACCTGGTGGTTTGAAAATCACGCTGGGCATGTGTATGTATGTGCCCAAGATCCTGGGAGGAAAACGGAGAAGGGACTGCAGCATGGCCATCTTCCCTGGGGGGTGATTTCTCGCTTTCTGTCTCTCCGTCCCTCTCTGCCTTTCTGGTGAACACTAGTGCCCTACAGCAAAAACCTCTCTTCAAAAACAAAAAAAATTAACTTCCAAACATCACGAATAGGAGAAGACTACCATAAAAATTAAACGCGCTCCCTCGAATTGGCTCACCATATAGGAGCTGCCAAGAGGCTCCAGCTTTGGGTGACCAAAGGAAAGAAGGAAAAAAATCTTCCCAGTGCTGCATCATTCCCTTCCCACTTTATGAGGATATAAGGGAGACAAAAAGTTCTTAAATATATCTATTTATCTGTATTTTAGTATACGTTTTCTCCTCGTGAACAATAATAGTTTGGATTCAGCTGAGTCACCATATCAGCATCAGAACTACAATTCAGCTGTACCAGCTGGGAAGCTTATTATCTCATTTCACAGAAAACCTGTTTCTAGGACCAGCAGTTGGCATAATGGTTATGTCGCTCAACTCCCATGTAGTTGACCACAGTTCGAGTCCCGGACCCAGTGGCTCAAACTCATGCCAGGCGCATGTTCATGTGTCATGCATACCCAAGATCCTGAGAGGAGAATGGAGGAGAAGGGGCTACAGCGTGGCCAAGCCCCCAGGGGGTGATTTCTCGCTTTCTGTCTCTCTGTCTCATTCTTTTTTCCCTCTGTCTCTGTCTCTCTCTGATGAGCACAAATGCCCTAAGGCAAAAACCTCTAAAATATTTATATATATTTCTGGAAACAAAAAAGGAAAAACACTAGTTAAAGGCAAGGACACCACTACAAAGGGCATGTTTACATAAACAGAAAACACACTGCCTTAAAAATGTATATGCGATGGTTTACATAATTTGACTTGGAATTTTCACGCTCATGTGAACATGGTATAACTTACCTCCTGAATAGCAGTCATGACCACATGCTGAACAGACTCTTCCAGTGTCATTATATTTTGAATATGTTCTAGAATTGGAAAAAAAAATCTGAACTCTCTTTACCATAGTATGTTAGCCATTTGAACCATAAAATATAAAACTTCATTTCCACAGATAACCCCTTATGCAAACACATTACTTTTCCACTAATGTCTACTAAAAATAAAAAAGCAGAATAGCAAAATATTCATATAAATATTTTTAATGTTTTCTTTTTTTCTAAAGAAGATGCTCTTTTAATTTTCTTTAAGAGAAAAAGCAGAAATTACAGCTAATCATAAAATGATAATATTATAAACTGATCTTAGCTCAGAAGGTTTCAGTTTATTACCTATTCAGTTCATTCTCAGAAGGCTTTCAAAGACGGGACCTACATAGCCTCCAGTAAACACCCACTCAGCATTCACTAACTCTCTCCAAGGAGATCCTTGTACCTCACCACAAACACACACGCGGTAAGCCAAGGTGATTCTGCCCAGACAGGAAAAGCTGAATCATGTGTGTAAGTTCATCCATTTGTAGGCTTAAATTCCCCTCAGCTGCATGTTTTCCAGCTAAAACAATTTCCTAAAATGTTAAGAATTATTTTGTAATGTTTTCATTGCTTTAATAAATCTTCTGGGAAGACTTCTAAAAGTTCTCTAAATCTTCCTTTTATTTGTGAAGCCGAGAATGAGACAAAGATTCTGGATTGTCACTATCCTATCCAGTGGTAATGAAATATTTGAACCTGCTAAAAACTGTACAAAATTAAGCAACTCGCTTTCCCCATCAAGATAAACAGGGTACTATTAACCAAACCAGT